GCAAATTGAGCAACTATGATTTGTAAACTAGGACGGACATAGATGGATCAGGCCAGTTTGAGTTTCTTCAATGGAGCAAACCATGGTTTAACACAATATGTATTTTACTTCCACTTTTATTGTTGAATTTAGCCAAATACGCATGTTCTTATCTCAACAAAAACTTGTCTCTCAATATACATGCCATTAACAATTGATTCAGTGAAGATAAACCAATATCTGTATTATGGTAATATTGCATCCAAGTATGATTTGTGATATAGGGCTTATTTCATATATCCATGAGATGAGAAGTTTTCCCTCAAGTTGCTACCACTTTCCTCCCGTTGGCTATTCCTGCAAAGAATTAGGCCCCAGAATTATTTAGTGGGTTATACCTTTTCCACCACTCTTTAAGATTGCCTCTGGAATAGAGGCAGTCTTATAATGGCTTACAGGCCTAACATCTCTGATGGGATAAGGAAGTCTTTTAAGTAGTGAAATCAAAAAAACAAATTTAAGTAGTGAGATCAGAAAACCAAGTTGAGAACCATTTGTTCTCAAAAAAAGTTGGAGATACTCTTCAGTATTGCCATGGATTGTTCAATTTCTAAATTGAGAAGATGGGCCTCCTCCAGTCATGCTTTATGAGCTACACATTCTTTCCAAAACTGCTTCATATGTGGAACTTGGTGATGCTCAGGAGAAATTCAAAGGAGCTGCATGGGCCTCAGTGCATTTTTTTTTTTTTTTTTTTTTGTCTTTCAGGTTGAAGCTTGTGTGTTGGTGTTTTTAAAAAATTGTACTGCAAGAAGCAGTGGTTGAAATTCTAATGAAAGTATTGGCATTTATCATATATAACCTGAAAACTTAAATAATGAAATATGAAAATATGAACTTAAATTTACATGTAACATTCAATTCCCTTTTCTAAAAGTTATATTAAAATTGAATTTAAATGAATATCAACATGATTTTAAAGAATAAATTCTATTTCCTCTAAGGAGTCACTCAGTAGCTTGTAGCTGTAGTTATCTCCCGGGAGAGCCAAATGACCTTAGTAATTTCCATTGATTGCAGACAAACTCTGTTGTTTGTACAATATCCTAAAGGTAGGTGGCAGCACTTTACAGACCTCAGCCAATATCAGAAATGCTAAGCCTGGTTGCAAGTTTTTTTTTAAAAAAATAATTTTCTTGCCAATTTTTTAAAAAATAGAAAAAAATATACAAAAACAAAATTTGTCTATCTACTATAGTAATTATAATAGCAAAAAAATAAAATATCCTAAGCCAATGTAATTCATTTAAATATGCCAAATGTTCACATTTCGTGTTTATATCCATATAATCAATGTATCTAGGCATGAGAAGTCTATTCTTCCAAATGGTTATGAAATCATAACAATTTTTCAGTTAGTAAAAAAAAGTCTTTTAAAAAATAGATAAGTCACACATTACTTGAATCCAGTCTTTGATATATCCAAATCAGTCTCAGTATAATTCTCTTGGCTATTCCCTGAACCTAACATAGCTAATTAGGACAATTTTTCTTAAAAAATTGTCAGATTCTACAATTTTGGAATATAACATTACTCCAAAAAGAAACCAAACTGGGTATGACCAAACAAAATAATTAATAAAAAATAATTGATTAATAATGATGATGGTAATAATAATAGAGTTGGAAGGGATCTTGGAGGTCTTCTAGTCCAACCCCCTGCTCAGGCAGGAAACTCTATACCATTTTGGACAAATGGCTGTCCAGTCTCTTCTTAAAAACTTCCAGTGTTGGAGCATTCACCCTTTTGGAGGCGGTTGTTCCACTGATTAATTGTTCTAACTGTCAGGAAATTTCTCCTTAGTTCTAGGTTGCTTCTCTCTGGTTAATTCCCATCCATTATGAATTAATGTACTTCAAGTGTTGTATGTCTCACAGAATAAAATCTACCATCCTTTGCATGCATTCTTTGATGAATCCAAACATACAAACTTAACATTTTTTTAAAACTTGCATTCACTGATTTTCCATTATCAGGTATTCCAACCACTTATTCCATAATTATAAATATTAGTAATTTTGATTTTAAATATTCTGAGGAATGTGTGGATGCTGCAATGGTCGTAAATGTGAAAAATGGCATAAGTCACTATTTTCAGTGCCACTGTAAGTTTGAACCGTTACTAAATGTTAAGCTGAGGGTTATCTGCACGTATTTCAATTACATTGGGTTTTCTGGTTCTAAGGCTGTAATAAAGATAAATTCATATTATACCTTTTCAATGAAGTCCATAATGGTTTGATGTTCAATTAAATTGTCATTCCACATATAGATGATAAAATACCCAATTTTAGTTAAAGTCTAATCAATTAAAACCTTATAAAATGTGAGCTCAGCCAGTTACATTCTTGACAGTCTATCTTACCAGCTAAATAAAATCCCCATTTCTAGTTAAACTATGTATTGATCAAGGAGAAATACTTGTTTCTCATTAATCTTACCCTACTAACTCCCTCTGAGATGAGGCTGGCCCCAAGCCTGTTGGGCTTCAGGAAGGCCCTTAAAATAAGGCTTTGTTAATTAGCTTTGGGGATCCCATGACAAAGTCCATCCTGTTAGATTATTATATGGCTGTTAATGGAATGCACCCTGTTTGTGTTTTCCTGCTATTTTTTTAATTCTTGTTTTCATTTATTTTGTTTTAACAGTTTTATGTTTTTGATTATGTATGCAGCAGAGTCAAAGATGATTAATTTCAATTCATTTATTAATGTACACAAAAATATATAATCTGGATATATAAGCTTCCAAATATCTGGAAACATTTTTGCACCATCCAATCTGAATCCATCACCAGGACCAGACATTTAGTCTTCCATGTTTTTGGACATGTGCTGGAGCCTATCCTCAGAGAACTTCTCCATGTGTTCCCTGCATTTTTGGCATATATACTCCTAATTATTTAATATATTATTTTTATTCCAACACCCAACATCTTACCTTGATATCGGGTACTAAAAAATAAATCAGATTATTATCAATCAGTCTTAACATTTTCCAAACTGTTGAATAACCTTTTCAATTAAGGCAGTGATGTACAACAATTATCCAGAATTGCCAGGAAATTATCATTTACCTTTTGCAGGGTCTATGAGGCATTTACTCCTCTTTTCTAGCACAAACCTTTAAACAACCCTTGTAGTTCGTTATTTACTCAGAAATTACATTCTTCAACCAATCCCAAACGCGCATGCACGATATTGTTAGACTCAAGCAATGGGAAGTGGTGACGTGCATATTTGCATAATATATGCAGGCAAATGAAAGATGAGAATCGCACTGAAGTTTTCTGATAGGAATTGTTCTGTGTCCTTTCTCATCCCTAACTAAAGGCTGTGATTAAGAAATAGAGTATATTTCGCGAAATCAAATAAGTAGAAAATATTCTACTTTCCCTTGCTTTCGTTTTGCTCACTATAACCTACAAGATAAATGATCTAACACAGTTTTATACAGCTGAAAAGGGCATTGATGCCGTGTTAGCGTTCTGAAGACCTGCTCTCTAGGCTACTTGCGGAGGACTTGTTCCTCTTCCGGCTTCCTTGCCGCCTAGGGGAAAGTCCCCGGACCCCCGGCAGAGAGTGCCGTGTGCTTTGACGCGCGCAACCCTCTCACAAACTCACGCTTCTTCCGCCAAGAAGCCCCCCAGGGCCGAGCGGGTGAGTGCGGGAGGGGCTCTCGTCAGCTCCATAGTAACGCAGGTAGTGCGCGTGTGCTCCTTTCCCAACTAGGAGGCGGTCGCACCAACAAAACGGGGCTCATTCTTAGGACGCTTTTTTTTTTCTTGGCCACCTGTCTCTATGGAACTTTAACTGCGACTTCTGCGTCGCAAGCACGTAGGTCTTGTAAACCAATGAATTTTTATCGGTCCCGGAAAGTGTAGAAAGGCTACACTTGCGGTTGAGGATTTTGTTTCTTGTTTTTTGAGCTCTTGATAAGGCTATTGCATGTGTACATGACAAACAATATTTACACTAAAATCTTGTAAGTTTATATTCCTTGTCAGCGCGTTTGGGAGATGTTTCTCCGAGTGACAGAGTATAAATAAAATCTTTTAAGAACAGGTTGACGTATATCTGTCTATGGCACCCTTTCCTCCAGAGTCCAGGGAGTCTTTCGTAGGTTTCTGAATGTTGCTCTAGAAATACTGTTTACTGTGTAATATGCAATTCCTGTTTTTTCGGCTACCTTCCCCAGCCAGGCCACAGAAAACCATTGCTAAATGTAAAAATGCACGGAGACAGCTCGCGAGCAAACTGCTTACTCTTCCTGGCGGCTCATTAGAAAAACCCAGTTTAAATCCACCGAAAAACTGGTAGTTTGCTAGTTTTCTCTTTCCGAACCGTAAGCGCAGCATCACTTAACCCTTTTTGCTCCTTTTTCGACTTAATTACATCGCGCCACCTAACTAGTTCCGGAAGCTGCGAAGGACGAGAGGGGGGGTCCATGAAGTTTAACTCTTGCCATCAAGGAATGAGGTTCTTTCGCGAGTGGATGAGGCGACTTAATGGTCGTTTGCTCACTCTCGCTCGTTTCAGACGTTACCGCAGATCCCGTGTGACGTTGAGACTCAATGCAGCTGGGATGTCATGAAAACCTTGCCTGGGAGTTACATTTGCTTTTCTTGAATTTGGCTACCCGCGATTCTTGAGCTACCTGCTTCTGTTTCCATGCCCGATTATAAAAAGAGGATGGATGAAAAAAGAGCAGTGGCCGGCTCGTGTTCGTAAGTATGCTTCTTTCCTATGGCTTTATCACTGCTCATCTCCCCGAGCGGAGAAAACTGGAGGAAAGAATGGGAGCGGCCTAGGGCGGGGAGATAGCACGTTTCCTTGAGACCCGGCAGAGTCTAATTCTGACTTAGTCTCTTTAAATGAAATCCCGCCTTTTCCTCCCGCCCCGTTTGTCTTCTGACGTCCCACCATGCTGGACCAATGGCATAGGCCGTAAGGGGAAGGCGGGAGAATGTGAACCGGCCGCACCTTATAAGGACAGGGCCTTGCGCATGCGTACTCTGCGGATCGAAGGGGGTGCGAGGAAGGAAAAAGAGGCGGGGAGTTCCAAGTGAGGCAGGAGAGCATTTCTCTTAGCGCCCCCCCCCCCTTCGGCCGATTAAAGACGCAGCCACCTGAGAGTCTCCCTCACTGCCCCCTTTCCTCCCTTCCTGCCCTGGAGCGATCCGAGCGGGCTGAAAGAAGAGGGAAGGGGGTGTCACGTCCGGTAACGATGTTGGGGTCGCCGGGGCAACAGCCCGGGGGGGCGGGGTCTGGGGCGACGGCCGGGGCAGCTGCCGGTTCTGCTGCCACTGCCGGCGGCGGGGCCGGGGGCGTCGCGAGCTTTCCGTGCGGAGGTGCGTCTGAGAGGCTGTTGGCGCGCTACGTGCAAGACTACCTGGAGTGCGTCGAGTCCTTGCCGCTGGACATGCAGAGGTTGGCCTCGCTCCTGCGCGAGATGGACACGCGCTGCCGTGGTGAGCAAGAGAGGCGCGAGCGCGACGGGGGGACGGGGGTTGAGCCGATGACGGGCGCTGGCAACTGATTATGGAAACTGCTCTCCCCTCAGCTCAGTGGGAGCGCTCTTCCTCGTGAAGAGGAGGGGCGATTCCCTTCTCCTCCTCCCGACTCTGGGTTGGGGGCAGAGAAAATGGCCACCCTTCTTTTGCCCTCACCCCACCCTATTAGGGGCAGTCGCTTGGGAAGAAGCCGGTCCGAGGACGCTTCGTGTTAGGCCTTGAGGGAGCGCGAGGTGGGTGGCGGCCGGGGCCGCTCCGGATTCTGGCGCTGACAGTGGCCCTGGTTCGCCACGCGCACGCGGGCCCCTGTCACGGGCCCGCGAGTGAGGCGGAGACGAGGAGGCACGTTGCCTTGTTTGGGATGATGCTCCGGATGAGGCGAATGCGTGAAAATGTATCGTTCAGTAAGATCTTCCCTCAGTAGGCGGTTATGTTTCAGAGCTGGGGATAAACCTATGCTGTTTCAGCAGCTATATGAGAGTAAGTAAGGTGACTCCCTTTTTTTTGCTAGTCATTTGAGTGCCAATCTTGAAAGAACATAAGTTTAATTCACTTGCTTCTAAGTAGTTTTTTAGTTGCCTCACAGTACTACAAGTGTATCCAACCACCATAGAATGCAGGAAAGGTAATGTTACTTAAACAATGTTTAAAGGGGGAGGATTGAAATATAAATGCCCAATTGTATAAGTAGACCCACGTACACGTGTTTTATTATGAATTATAATATATATACTCTTTGTTAGTACATCAGTAGTAACAGAGAAGCTAGTACATTTTTTTCTTTTGGGGAAGGACGGTACTTCTCCACATTTAAACTCATTTGATTATCTTGTCCCAGTGGGACTTTTTGCACCGAGATAACCGGAAGTGCAGGTCAGTCAAGAGAAAGGAAGGTGTTGGCCTTTTTTTGAAGTGAGAATTACTTTGGGAGACAAGCACACAACAGACCAATTTATGAAAGAGTCTTACTGAGTTTAGAAGCATTTTACACTGGAAGAATATTGAGGATTGTCACTATAAACTTTTTTTGTACATAGTTGGATATAATTTTACTATGGCTTTGAATTGGGGCTAGTCTAAGCTCAGCCTACAGGGTTACTGTTGTGGAAAATTGGAGGTGTGGTACCATGCATTGTACATCATCTTCAGATCCTAACAAAAAATAGATATAAATTAAAAAAGCATTTTTGGTTTTACTGAATGTATTAAATAATAGTTTATTTTTGTGACCTTGAATAAGGCAATTTTGGCATATAACTATCCTGTCAAAGCTTTTGTTCCTATTTTCCTTCTAAAAGCTGCTGCAATTCACTCAATAATAAAACTTTATATTGGCGATAATAGAACATCAAATAGATTTAATAAACTCATTTTTGTGGCCTCCTGAATTATTTTCTGCAACCCAAAGCAGTAGCTAGAAACATTAAGCCCTGAAAAGCATAATCTCGCATCTGATGAGGGGTATCCCAAAGAATGTGACATGACTCCTTGCCCATATTCAATTGAGTTAACAACAAGAGCAAAATAGCAACAAGAATGATAAAGGAGCATACTGGTTCATTGGTTCAAAAGCAGTTTAAAGTGCCTCACCGCTCCATAGCAGGACATCAGCTGCCAGAAGTAGAATAGTAGTTTGCTGATCTTATCAGGCACTGTGGAACTAGCCCTGGCTTATTACTATAATTTACATTTTATATGTAATATTCATAAAATAGAAAACTATGATTTAGGGACTTTGAGTTTATGACTGTCTTGTGATGCTTTTCAACAGAAGCTTTGAAAGAAATTGATGAGGTGTATGAGAAATACAAAGCTGAAGATGATCCTGCACAGAAAAAGCGTTTGCAGCAATATCTTCAGCGGGCTTTGATCAACAGTCAAGAACTTGGAGATGAAAAAATCCAAGTAGTTACTCAAATGCTTGAGTTAGTGGAGAACAGAGCCCGGCAGATAGAGTCCCACTCTCAGTGCTTTCAAGATCTGTCAGATACTGAAAAACCTATCGAAAAGTCAAAACAGGATACATGTCAACCAGAAAGATCTTCACGAAGACCCCGTCGGCAACGTACTAGTGAAAGCCGTGATATATGCCATATAGCAAATGGAATTGATGAATATGATGACCAGCCACCTAAAGAAAAAAGATCCAAATCTGCTAAGAAGAAAAAACGCTCTAAAGCTAAACAAGAACGGGAAGCTTCACCAGTAGAATTTGCAGTTGACCCTAATGAGCCAACTTACTGTCTCTGTGACCAAGTGTCTTACGGAGAAATGATAGGCTGTGACAATGATCTGTGTCCCATTGAATGGTTTCATTTTTCATGTGTCGGACTCACTTATAAACCAAAGGGAAAATGGTATTGCCCAAAGTGCAGAGGAGACAATGAGAAGACTATGGATAAATGTACAGACAAATCCAAAAAGGATAGAAGATCAAGGTAGTAAATGCTCTAATGCACAGACAGCTGTGTGGTTTCTATAAAACTATTTAATAAGCAGATTAGTATTTTAGAATAATGCATAAAACTATGCAATAATTTTTAAGATGTACAATACTATTGGAATGTTCACAGATGTTAATACTATTTTCTGCTTTTGAATATTCTGCACTAAAACCAAAATTTTCAAACGGTCACATGGGAGTAGCACAGAAGGAATTCAGGAATTCCAGATTCCTCATTCTTTTTAATTGTGGAATTATGGTAATGTCTGATGAGGAAAGACTGGAAAGATGATCATGTTAAAACTGATGTGTTAACAAATGTTGCAATTGTAAATTTAGTTGAATATAGCACATTTTGCTGAGAACATGTTAGTTCTATGATGCTTTTAGTCTTCAGAATTCTAAAGATAATATTTGAATCTATTGCCAAACTTTAAATTTTAAGCCTTTGAAAATATAAAGCCAGTTTTTCTTGGTGTCTTCCATGTGATCTATCTATATGTCATTAATTTATTTTATATGAATCTAGTGGTGAGCTTATAAGTCTGTTTAAAGAAAGTATATTAAACAAATACTGGAAGAGTTGCAATCAGCATTAATTGCAGTCCTAAATTGAACTATTTGTTCTTCTCACTATGCTCTTCAGTTTCTTCAGTCCTTTTGTGCCATCTTGTTCATAATTCCTTGAATTTTTTTTAAAAAAGTATGTAATCATGTTGCAAAATTTAGATATACAAAGAATACATAAATACTGTAAGGTCAGTTTCTGAAGTAAGCTTGACTGGTCTTAATATTTTATTTTGTTTTCCAGGCTCTATGGGCTGAGCAAAAAACATTAATAGGAAAAAGTTGTTGTTCTCTAAAAGAGTAGTCCTATAGGCATAGAGAGAATATACATCTGAAATATAGCAACTCAATGAAATATTTTATTTTAATGACTATGACATGTCTTTGAAACAAATAGTAAAAGTATCCCCAAACTAAATATTTCTTTTATGGAACAGTTTTGAAATTGATGCTATATACCTGTAGTCATTTGACTGCCTAACTTAATGTCATAGATGTTCACAGATACTAATTTTATTTTTCTCTAGAAGATTAGAGTAGTTCATTTTATTTATTAGACATAAGAGAGACTATGTAAGTAAATGTATTGTAAAGTAACAAGATAAGCAGGCCAACAAAAAAGTTCCAATATTGAATTCTTGTTCCTATGGTGTGAAATATTTGGCAGTTTCTCACATTTTGAGGGAGGTTTGAAAAAAAGCTTGGATACTACAAAAATTTCAAATTAAATATTCAAAAATGATTATTTTGAAAGCATGGTAGCACAGCTGCATCATGTGGACTAGAGACATTTAGCCATTTAACTAGAAATTGTTCTACTACATTATTTCATATGGCTGTTATATCTATGCTGAATCTGAAATTGTGTCTCATGAATTAATTGTATCTAATAAACTGACCACAAGGTACTATGTTTTCCCAAAAATAAGACCCCCCCCCTTTTTTTTCTGACAGCCTATTCAGCCAGCTCACTTGTTCTGCGGCTGAGGGAGCAGCTTCATTCTGCAGCTGAGAATGGAGCTTGGATCTGCATTTCACAGTCAAGAGGCCTTTCTGGAAATGCAGAAATGCAGGCCTGAGCTCCATTCTTAGCTGCAGAATGAAGCTGCTCCTTTGGCCGCAGAAGAAGTGGGCTGGCACGGCAAGTGTCGATCCATGGGATAAGCTCTACCCACACCCTAGCTTGATTTTCAGGTGTGCGCTTCACCCCAAAACTAGGGCTTATTTTTGGGTGTGGCTTATATTAGGCCTAGCCCCAAAAAATCAAGCTAGGGCTTATTTTTGGGGTGGATCTTACTTTCGGGAAAACACGGTATGTCATGGTCAAATGGCATTGCTTTCTTTTATAAATATCATGTCTTACCTTGTTAGGGGGACACTAATTGCACATTCATAATATAGCTATAATATGTTTTTATTTTGAATATTTCACACACCCCCAATATAGTTCTGCAATGGGCAGATAAATGAAATTCTAACTTTCTAATATGTTTCTGTAGTTGCTGCTTCTTATTTTTCTGAATGATCCAAGGAAAGAAATCACACAGCAATTTTATGATTGTGTGTAAAATTTGGAAGAATATAAAGTTTAATTGATTGATATGTGCACTGCAACATCATTACCATAAAACAGACTACTTACATATTCATAGCTGTTTCTGGACACAATACTTCTGTACTGAGAGAATGATGTGCATTAATGTCTGATAAGACCAGCCACAATACCTATGTCTCTATTTTTGAGAAAAAGTGATTCTTAGTGAACTACAATTAGTCAACTACAACTACATAAAATTATAATGCTTCCTATTTTGAGAAACTGTATTATTGCTATGAAGTTTTCTTTTGATTTTTTTTTAATATGTTGCTTGATATAATATGACAATCTCCTTGATTCAAAATTTTATAAGCATAAGCACATGGAAATTAGAAATGTGCCACCAGAATGTATCAGCTACTTGGATTTAATCTTTTGCATGCTACGATTTATGAATAAAAAATACTGGTTGTAAAATTGTATCTGAATTTTCCCCCCGTTTTTTCTATCATGCATTCATAGGCTAGAATCCAAAGAACTTGTATATACAGAAGGTACAGTGAGAGAAAAAATAATTTGATTCACTGCTGATTTTGTATATTTGCCCACTGACAAAGAAATGATCAGTCTATAAATGTAATGGTAGGTTTATTTTAACAGTGAGAGACAGAATAACAAAGAAATCCAGAAAAACACATTTCAAAAAAGTTATAAATTGATTAGCATTTTAATGAGTGAAATAAGTATTTGATCCCTTGTAGTTGGCCACCAGGTTTGCACACATCTCAGGAGGAATTTTGTCTCACTCCTCTTTGCAGATCCTCTCCAAGTCATTAAGATTTCAAGCCTAACATTTGGCATTTCGAACCTTCAGCTCCCTCCACAGATTTTCTATGGGATTAAGGTCTGGAGACTGGCTAGGCCACTCCAGGACCTTATTGTGCTTCTTTTTGAGCCACTCCTTTATTGCTTTGGCCATGTGTTTTGTGTCATTGCCATGCTGGAATACCCATCCACAACCCATTTTCAGTGCTCTGGCTGAGGGAAGGAGATTCTCACCCAAGATTTGACGGTACATGGCCCCGTCCATCGTCCCTTTGATGCAGTGAAGTCCTGTCCCCTTAGCAGAAAAACACCCCCAAACATAATATTTCCATCTCCATGTTTGACAGTGGGGATGGTGTTCTTGGGGCCATAGGCAGCATTCCTCCTCCTCCAAATATAACGAGTTGAGTTGATGCCAAAGAGTTCAATTTTGGTCTCAGCTGACCACAACACTTTCACCAAGTTCTCTGAATCATTCAGTTGTTCATTGGCAAACATCAGACGAATCTGTACATGTGCTTTCTTGAGCAGGGGGACCTTGTGGGCGCTGCAGGATTTCAGTCCTTCATGGCATAGTGTGTTACCAGTTGTTTTCGTGATGACTATGGTCCGAGCTGCCTTGAGATCATTGACAAGATCCTCCCGTGTAGTTCCTGGCTGATTCTTCACCGTTCTCATGATCATTGAAACTCCACAAGGTGAGATCTTGCATGGAGCCCCAGACTGAGGGAGATTGACAGTTATTTTGTGTTTCTTCCATTTGCAAATAATTACACCAACTGCTGTCACCTTCTCACCAAGCTGTTTGACGATAGTCTCATAGCCCATTCCAGCCTTGTGTAGGTCTACAATCTTGTTCTTGACATCCTTGGACAGCTCTTTGGTCTTGGCTATGGTGGAGAGTTTGGAATCTGATTGATTGATTGATTGCTTCTGTGGACAGATGACTTTTATACAAGTAACAAACTGAGATTAGGAGCACTCCCTTTAAGAGAATGCTCCTAATCTCAGCTTGTTACCTGTATAAAAGACACCTGGGAGCCAGAAATCTTGCTGATTGATAGGCAATCAAATACTTATTTCACTCATTAAAATGCAAATCAATTCATAACTTTTGAAATGCATTTTTTCTGAATTTTTTTTGCTATTCTGTGTCTCACTGTTAAAATAAACCTACCATTACAATTATTTTTCTATATGTCTGATAAATATCTTGAACAATAATTACAATAGATTGTTAAAGTGATAGTGAAACTCGCATTTTGTATGAGTATTGAAGTTTTCATAATACCCTTAATTGTTACTACGTTAAATGCACGCTCATTTCAGGTTCCATAAATCTTATTGACAGCCTGCAACATCTTGTATATCAGAATAAGAAGAGTTCTGATGTGAAGTGTTATTGCCTTCTAATCTTCCAAATTTAACCGTGTAGCTTATAAAAAGATAAAGGTAAGAATAGTCCGAAATTGCAGTTTACATAGTAGCATATATTCTATGTTGCATCACACAATATAGTACCTAAAACATATCTGTTCATGTTTCAGTATAACCCAAAAAAGTATTAATGAGCAATATTTAGCATGACAAAAAGGGAAATTGCCTCACAAAATGGGCTAATAAGTAATAGTATATGTTATCATTAACTTGTTTTATAGTTGATATAAAAAAACTGGCACCTTTTCCTCTTGCAGAGAGAGAATACATGTTTTCTATGTTTTACTACAAGTCTCTCTCTGCTTGCTGCTAGCCAAAAGTATCGACACCCTTACTTGTTTCATCTAATAATTACAAGAATATGTTAAATTATACATCAAAGTGTCTGTTGTATGAACTGTCATGTGAATGGCATTTACTTTTGTCAGTTTCAACTTACTTTATAGCAAATTGGGATTCTTGGGCAAAAGTGAGGAGTAGCAATACTTTTGCCTGCATCTGTGAAACGTCTCAAACTTATCCAACAAATCCTAAAGAAACCCATCACCACAAAAAAAAATAAAAATCTAGGTATATAAATTGTGGAATAGATCCTTAATGTATGGAGATTTCCCCACTCCCCCTTCTCTGCAGAATGGTAATGAGGTGATTAAATCCTTTGTACAAACTTATTCTTTCCTTCAGTCCAGTTGAGTTCAGTAATTCTTATGTTTATGACTGGTCAAAGTAGTCTCTGCATTCTCCTTGCATTCCTTTCAGTGAAGAGCTTTTGTCATGGGGATTTTCCTTTAGTTTCTTGACTTTTTTACATGGGGAGTAGAGACTGAAAGATTCTCATCTTGCATAATTTTCTACAATGCCATATGGGGCTAAGAAAAAGGCAAAACTGGTGGCAGCAGCTTCATTTTCTTCAGTTACTTTTTTACATTATCAGTTGTATCTTTCTCCTCCAACTTGCAGATAATTATTGGGGAGAATGGAGAAATAATTTACAGGTAGGAAAATTAATATTGTCTTTTTATGTTATGTGCAATTGCTTATTGTATTATTTTAAATGTTATGTGCAATTGCTTTTAAAACAAAAATATTTTTAAACTATGTCAACTTTCATTTGTTTATGCTCATGATTTTATTTTGTTCAAATTCTCTTTTAAATATTTTCAAGTTCTTCTTCACTGCTTGATGAGTCTTCTCCAAACAAATCTTTTCCTATTGAATTTTCAGCAGTGTTTATGCTCATCATTTTCAAAGTGGTAAGAGTAGAGCAGTTGCTCAAGCCTAAAAGAACTGTCTTTTTGTCACAGGCAACAGTCATGCAAGAGATTTTGCTATCAAATGTAAAGATGGATATAACTGTGCCATTCTCCAAATCCCAGAAACTGACCTCACCTAAAGTGGGAGAGGGAAATGCATGTTACTACATTTAGTTTGGCTTGGAAACTTCCTTCATTTTAATAAAAAAAACTCTTGTGTTGGTTAATCCATAGCAGTAAAATTTAAAAACCCTTTGGTATAATTTCTTGGTGGTAAATAGAATAGAATATAAAATTCTGAAATTAATTCAGTAATGGAATGAGACATTTTTGGTTATTTTTTTGGCACTGCTACAGTTATGTCTGCCACTTTTATTCTTCAGAAGTATCCTGGTTAGTAGGTAAGTTCAGATTTGTAACTAATTTACACACACATATGTATCAAAAATATTTTTTAATCTGTTTTTATATTCCATTCCCTAACATTTTACTGAAGCCTGTGCTTCTTCGTTATGCAAATAGAATGTTATGCAAAATTCTGGTGGAATCTGTTTGGCTTGGATTAAATTTTGCTAAACAATAGCACTGTATAGCCAGTGTATAGCCAAAGTTAATGGATATTAGATTGTGTAATATATCATTCTGGATTCAAACAGAGAAAGCATAATTTAGAACATATGGGGAGGCTTATGTCACACAGTTTGCAGTTACCTTTCCTAGGCTTACATAGCTTTAAAAAAATTTTCAGGAAAAAACCCATTGAATTAAAGAGTTGCTAACACATGCAGCACAATGTATACTGAATCATCTTTTCCTTCTTTAACCACTGTAGACATAGTGCTAAATAATATTTCATTGATTAGAAGTCATTAATAAACCACAATGGGCTATGTTTTAACAGCAAGCTGAGCCATGAACCCTGTTCTATTAATGATGGTAATCTAAGACAAAATTTTAGAAAAAAAAACATTGAGGACGGGCATACAACTTGCAGTCTATGAGTTGAATGCATCTTATTTCTGGGACCAGGATTTCCAGCATTGAATGAATAAAATGTTTTTCAATCTTTTAGAGATATAAGGCATTAATTTCAGTTTTTGAAACCCACCCATTCCCAAAAAATCAGCCTGTTTTTTCATGTTTGTATAATACATAATGCATTCATTATAACTTCCAGATATAAGTACATCAGCAAATAATAGCGTACATTCTAAATACCCTTTAAAATGTGACTGTATATGGCAAACAGAAATTTCTTCTGTAAATTATGTTGATGTTTAGGATCAGAATAACAATAGCATATTAAGTTTAATGTTTTCACTAGAATTAGTTATAAATAACAGGTTATAATATTAAAAATCAAAAGAACATAGTCTTGAGCACATTTTTATCTACAAAAGAAATTATGAACAAACCTGCAAGTAGAATTGCTTTTGTTCCATCTAATATGTGCAATTTGCTATTCACAGTCAGATCAAGGCCTTCATAACCTTGCATTAATTTGTGTTTATGCTTAAATGGATCCCAAATTTTAATCCTGTAAACCACAAGAAAAAAAATGTATCAGTTTGGACATTATTTAGAATTTATAATATTGTAGATATAATTAACAACCGTAGCATTTCTTTTAACCTTATCTACTATTTTGTAAACAGAAAATCAGGAGAATAGCATATTGTACTCTGAGAAACAACTTGTTTAATAATTATTTTGTATATAGCATCATATTTTGTTAGATAATGACTTAGCCTTCCATGCTTCTAAGATCAGTAAAATGAGGACCCAGAATGTAGGGGTAAACCACTTAGTGCTGTAAAGCACCATAAAGCGGAATGTAAGTCTAAGTGCTACTGCTATAATTAACTTTGGCAAAACTTTGAATAACTCCAGTGCCCGACTTGATTTACACTGGACTATTTAAATAACTTCTGGTTTTAGTAAAAGCAGTACATCTTAATTATATAATTGGATCCATCTTGCACATTTACATAAAAATATCTAATGCCTGTTATATTATTTTTGGTGGTATACTATGGTAAGTTTAGTAATTAATTGCTTTTAACATTCTTGGAAATTTGAAAAGAGTTCTATGATACATCAACTTCTTTTACATTTGGGGGGAAGGAAGTTACATTTGGAATATATAACCCCTCAAATCTACCTCAAGTTGTTTCTGACTATTATGAATAAATGTCTATGTATTTAAACACAAGAATATCTCACTAGATATTATTAACATTACTATGAAGCTTAAAGCTGTGGTATTTGCATACTCTCATCAGTTGTCTTCAAAATGGTTCAAGGAATAGCTGCATTTATGTTTTCAATCTTTGGCAGTTTCTGTACGTAATAAAAATGTCCAACTTTCTCTGCAATTGTTATAAAATATTGTATAGTATTAATATTCCATGTGTCTCCAGCTACAGGTAGTCCTCGATTTACAACTATTCATTTAGTGACCATTTGAAGTTACAACAATGAAAAACGTGACTTATGACTGTTTTTCACACGTATAGCCATTGCAGCATCCCCATGGTGACACGATCAAAATTCAGGTGTTTGGCAACTGGCTCATATTTATGACAGTTGCAATGTCTTGAGATCATGTGATCATCTTGTTACCTTCTGACAAGTAAAGTCAATGGGGAAGCCAGATTCATTTAACAATTGTATTAGTAATTGAACAACTGCAATGATTCTCTTAACAACTGTTGCAAGAAAGGTGGTAAAATAGGGCAAAATTCACTTAGCAACTGTCTCACTTAGCAACAGAAACTTTGGGCTCAATTGTCTTAAGTTGAGGACTACCGGTATATATGTACAGGTAGTCCTCGGCTTACAACAGTTTGAAGTTACAGTGGCACTGAAAAAAGTGACTTATGACCATTTTTCAGACATATGACTGCTGCAACATCCCCATGGTCACGTGATTTACATTCAGAAGCTTGACACTGGCTCACATTTATGATGGTTGCAGAGTCCTGGAGTCATGTGATCCCCTTTTTGCGACCTTCTGACAAGCAAATTCAATGGTGAAACCAGATTCATTAAATAACTGTGTTACTAATTTAAGAACTGCAGTGATTCACTTAACAAATGTGATGAGAAAAGTCGTAAAATGGGGCAAAACTCACGCAACAAATTTCTCACTTAAGAAATTTTAGGCTCAATTGTGGTCATAAGCTGAGGACTACATGTATTCCCATGTTGCTTCAGTACCTATGTGGAATGAAACCAAACAATTTATTGGGCACATTACAAATCTTTCTAGTAATAACTAAATTTTAGTATTTACTTACAGGTTATCCACCATCACTCCAAAAATTATTCTACTGCCATCTGCAGTAATGGCTGTACAACAGACATTAGGCTCATTTTTTAATCTTTTTCTAACCTATATTTTTATAACAGACAAAAATAAATTGAGTAAATTGGTTATGGGTAACTTTACATACAAGCTATAGATATATAGATTTGCAGGTGTATAACTGCAGGTAATGTTTTCCTGTTCATCCTTATTCTTCCAGAACGTGGCTGTATTGTGGAAAGGCAAGGAATGAAGGAATAATGGCTGAAGTAAAATGCCCAAATGTCAAGCAAAACTGGGCAGGGCCAGGACCCTCTTGGGAAGGAGGTTTGAGATTTTTAAGGAATAAAAGATATTTGTCATCTGCAACATTAAGACTATGCTACCTATTTTACTCCTTCCACGTGGCTCAAAATGCAAAATAAAGAGTTGAAATATTTAGCTCCTGTTCTTGGACTTACAAAAAAGATGTTTATTGGACATTTTTACAACTATGCTAAAAAGGTATTGTAGTAGATCTGGGTATTTGAATTATAGAAGGAATAGTTTGATGATAGAATAACCTAATTCAAATATTCCAAAATTAGGAATCATTTTTAACCAGTGGTTCTCAACCTTTCTAATGCCGTGACCCCATTATACAGTTCCCCATGTTGTGGTGACCCCCAAGTGGGTGTGGCCACCAATAAGAGGGAGTAGGACAGCTAGGGAAAAGGGAAAAAAATGGCGGACAGCATGGTTTGGCGACCCCCATGAAATGGTCGTTTGACCCCAAATGGGGTCCCGACCCACAGGTTGAGAACCACTGTTTTAAACTAATGGAAATAGGTAAGATGAATTATGTTCACAAACTATTTGCAGAGAGCTTAGATTGTTTATTGTCTTTTGATTTGGAAATCACGATACTACAAAGTTTTCTTGTTGCCCAAGTATTGCAGAAATTATACCTTTCCTGTGATTAAGTTCCATAGTGTTACATAGCTGATTTTTTCCTCTTCGCTGTAATTGGAAAGCACTAGATAATGCCCAGTATATGTTAAGGTAGCATTATATAAAAAAAGCATTGATTCTTTGCTCTCAAGTGTGTGGAGATAGGACATAGTTTCCAAGCTGAACACAGATAGATGATGTGCATAGTAGGAACACACAGCTATCTGTGAAAAGACAAAGGCAGTTATTTTAAAAACAATAAAACATCTTTAGCATCTGGCAAAAATAAATTAAGCCACAAGGCTCCCAGTTCAAAGGTTTTGACCTTGTTACTTATTAGGGAGAACAGACAAGAACGAGGGAGCAATTATTTTTCATACTGTAATAGGACATGTTGGTTAACTTTTTTATGAAATTAAGCACTAAACCTTGACAATATATAATACTGTGCAAAAATATTAGGCAGTTTTGCAGAAATGCTGTAAATTAATGCTTTCCGAAATAGAAGTGTTACTAGTTTATTTTTATCAGTTAACAAAATGGAAAGTAAATGAACAGAAGAGAACTCCAAATCAATATTTGGTGTGTGACCATCCTTGCCTTCAAAATAACATCAATTCCAGGTACATTTGCACACAGTTTCTGAAGAAACTTAGCAAAGTTCCTTCAAGACTGTTCTAAATATCCAATATCTCCAGAAGACATCTGGTTAGGAAAGCCTCCCAAAGCCTTTCACCTAAAGCAATGAGAGGTCCTTGTGTTCTCTGAGCTTGGTTGTTTTTTTGCAGATATTTCGTTACCCAAACTAGGTAATGACTAGTGACTAGCACTGATGAAGTTACCTAGTTAGGGTAATGAAACTTCTGCAAGAAAACAACCAAGCTCAGAGAGCACCAAGGACCCCCTGCCTTTATTTCTCGGGATTGAAGACCCTATTGATCCTGACCAAATCTCTAACTCCATTTGCAGAAATGCAGCCCCAAATGCAAGGAAGCTCCACCATGCTTCACTGTTTCCTGCGGACACTCATTACTGTACTCCTCTCCAGCCCTTCGGCAAGTAAACTATCTCCTGCTACAGCCAAATATTTCAAATTTTCACTTAGTCCAGATCACTTGCTGCCATTTTCTGCACCCCAGACCTTATGTTTTCATGCATATTTGAGTCACTTAGCCTTGTTTCTACACCAGAAGTATGGCTTTTGGGCTGCAATTCCTCCATTAAGACCACTTCTAGCCAGTCCTCTCTGGACAGTAGATGGGTATACTTGGGTCCCACTGGTTTCCACCAGTTCTGTGCTGACATCTTCAGATGTCGAAGGGAAATAAGCATGATGTGTCTTTTCATTTGCTGCATTAAGTCCTCAGTGTTGCCTGTTTCTTTGTGCTTCTTCAAAAGAGCTTGAACAACACATCTTGAAACCTCAGTCTGCTTTGAAATCTTTGCCTGGGAAAGGCTTTGCTGATGCAGTATAACTGCCTTTTGTCTTTGTTCTTGTGCTGTTTTGCTGTAATGAATGATCTATGACATGAAACCCTCTTCGAAAACCTCGCCTGAGTAGCAGAGTTTGGCTATTCCTCACCCAAAATTTGAGCTCCTACACAGCTGTTTCTGTTTCTGTTAATGACTGTTTCAACCTACATATGAAATTGATAATCATTAGCAACTGCTTGGTATAATTGGTTAATCATACACCTAACTCTAATCCTACAAAATCCATGGCTTTGTGCAAGTGTAAGAATTGATGCTGTTTTAAAGGCAAAGAGTGGTCACAGTAAATATTGAATTGACTTGGATTTCTCTTCTGTTCATCTACTTTCCATTTTGTTAATAAAAATAAACTATTAACACTTCTATTTCTGAAAGCATTCTTAATTTATAGCATTTTTGTACAATTGCCTATTCACACAGGGTTCCTTTATATCAGCAGGAATTACATGAAAATAATTTTATTTTTTTATATATTTAATACATTTATATAGCTATGACAATGAGTGGGGTATTACATTGTTCTCTTTTAAAACAAACTAAATTAAACTCAAAAGAGTTACTGCAATATGCTTTATGTTGGCCTGCACAGAAATGTATCCAGGAGTAGCAATTGGTGCAGAATGTAGCAGTTAAGACTGTTATACAAAGGATCTTTAAATACTAAGATATAAGTAGCCTATGTTGAACAACTGCCTTGTTTATCGTAATTGGGACTGGAATTTCCATCACTAAGCGATGAAGTCATAAAACATGATGTTATATGACCATCGCTTAGCAACAGCAATCCCAGCAGTCCCCATTGCCATCGTGTGAACCTCACATGACCATGATGTATCAAGAAGCAAGAAGCATGAATCCAGAAGGACTTTACAAATTTGCTTATGCCCTTGAAACAATCATAGGCAAGCAGTCCAGTGGTCAAAAACTACAGGCAGGCAGGTTGGGACTATGGAGTACAAGCAGGCAGGAGCCATGGATGGGTACTAGGAATAACAGGTAGGCGCATAATGTTGTGTATTGGGCAAGTGGCCGATGCTGTGGAGTATGAGATTCTCATGTCTCATGGGTGCTCCTCAGAAAAAAATTTGCAGTCTTGGACTTGCAACCTCCTGCCGATTACCCCATTGACTTGTGGGAAGCCAGCAGGGAAGGTCGAAAATGGCAATCACGTGACTGCAGGGGGCTGCAACTGTCATAATTTCATGCTGATTGCCAAGCATCCAAACAATGATCATGTGACCATGACTGTGGGAATGCTGCAACTTTGAAGACTGGTCATACTTTCCCCTATTCAGCACCATCGTAACTTCAAATGTCATTGGACAAACCCAAGGATATCTGTGTTCTAAAAATACATTTTACAATGTCAAATGAGTTATGTCTTAACATGTTTATAAAACAAAAGAATACATGTAGGATATTAAGCATGTTAACATTTAAATAAGTATGTATAAATACGAATAAATAGTGTTTTGGTAAGTACAACTCGCCTTCTCATCTCCACTCAGGAGGAACTGATCAATAGTATTATTCTTCTCTTTAGCTAGTTTCTGTAATGTCTCCACCTCCAGTTGTAATTCCCTTTCTTTTTTCCTTTTCTTTCCAGTATTGGTTTCATTTCGCTTTTCCCAGGGATGCCATAATGCTAATACATAATACATAAAAAAACTATGGTATTACACCTGAAATACAAGTAATTATTGTGATTTTTAATACTGGTGTTAAAGCACTATAACAGCTATTTTGTCTCAGCAAAGTCAAAAGTTAAGCAATCTTGGGCTTTCATTGGTATTTGAAGACTTCTCGGAAAAAGTAAGATTGTAGGTTAGACTGAGGAAGTTAAAAGAAATTAAAAAGAGCAATAGCAATTTATAAATAGCAGTTGCACTTAGACTTATATACCACTTCATAATGCTTTTACAACACATTCTAAGCGGTTTACAAAGTCAACATATTGCCCCCAACAATCTGGGTCCTCATTTTACTGACCTCGGAAGGATGGAAGGCTGAGTCAACCTTGAGCTGATCAGGATTGAACTCCTGGCAGCAGAATGCAGAGTTAGTCTGCAATACTGCATTCTAATCACTGCGCCAAAATAACTGCCATTATTGCCTCAAAATATTAGATTAGAATAATAAAGAATAATGGATGCTATTTGTGTCAGTTTCAACTTATTTCACAGCAAATTGGGATTCTATGGTAATATGGGGAGATCAATACTTTTGCCCACATATAATAGTTTCAGATTTCTGCAAAGACATGATTGTATCCATTAAATCAAGGGTCCCCAACCTCCGGGCCGCAGACCAGTGCCGGTCTGCGGCCAGCAAAGAGCCAGACTGCAGAAGTGAGTGAAACCACACACACACACCAGTCCCTGGAAAAAACACCCTTCATGGAATCGGTCCCAGATGCCCAAAAGATTGGGAGCCGTTGCATTAAATCAGAAATTGAATTCTTGTTGTGCTTTTCAATAAGATGGCTTACAAATTACTCTTGGTAAGGTATGTTCTTTAGATAAATATTTAATTATTTAATTTCTATAGCTGCCCAACTCAACCAAATGAATCTGGGCATCTTACAATTCTAAAATTATTAAAAAAATAATAAAAAAATTAAAGCAGTAAAAATCATTCACAAAGTAAATACAAACAGCGGCCATGATTAATCAACTAATAGGAAAGCCAAGTAACAGAACCCTTAACACATTCTGAGTCCCAGGCCTGGATTTTAAAGCTTTGCAAAAAGCCAACAGGGTTGGGGCTTAAGGTTAGTGTTGTCTTCCATAAATGGATGATTAGGCCAGGATCCATAGTGCTATTTTCTGCTTTCTCAGTGAACTGTATCTACCGATACTTATTTTAAAAGTTTCCTCAATTTTTAAAATCTATCTGCTATTGTGTGTGCGAGAGAGTGTCTGCTTCTATTATATATGAAAATAGAAGAGGGTTACTACTAAATACAATTTAGCCTTCCAAACATGATTCTTTAATATAACTTTATTTTTACAAGCAGGGCAATTATTAAAGCAATCTGAAACCTTTCTGTTATATTATTTTTTTAAACTGGTGAAAGAGCACTCATAGTAATTGCTCCTTTGTTGCACACCTGGATCTAAATCAGAAATAGACCTAGCATTATCTCAATAGATTTGTGAGGGCTTGGTTTGGATTTGAGTTTTGTTGGTAAAACCAATTTTCCTCATAAGGCTGTAGCTTATACCAAACTATTCAGGCATGGCAGGTTTACATGTCAGAGATAAAGAACTTACTTTGCACTAAACAGCATAAGTTTTGGTGGCTGCAGGGAAAAGGGAATGTTGCATAAGCAATGTCTAATTCTCTGCCTGTCCTGCAAATTTACATTAAAAATTTAGTTTCAGTAAACTAAACAGCAAATCCATGCTAATGCATAACTGGTATGCCTGTCACCATCTCAATCAGACAACTAAAGAAAGAGGTATTGATGTGAAATAGCCCCCACTTCTCAAGAATGCATATCTAAAGACAGTTCAGCTTATTCAATCACCTCTTTATGCTTATATAAAATTGCCCAAGGCACAAAAATTACAAAATCAGAAAGCTTCCTCAAGTAGCCCCTTCAATAATAATTGACAGCTTCCAGTCTCCCAGGTGTGAGACAATACATGAAAATTTAAAATCATACGGTTTCTCATAGGCAGCTATCACCTTAATGGGTTATAAATATGCCAGTCTTTAACAACATACCATTTACATAGAGTTATAATCAGATTTGTCATTCTTGCCCAGAAACATCCTTCGGAGATACCACTTCACTTAGCCAGATGCCTCAATGCATAACAGCCCTAAATTTAGAACGGCTTTGTCTTTGGCTTGATTCAATGCCGTTTCAAAAGCAGTCATTGCGGGAAATACTAGAACATCCCTTTCGAGCAGTTCTATTGTACTGCTGCCTCTGTGCTGACACTCATCAGGAATTAGTATTCCCACTCATCATCAGACACCCTGGTTGCACGGATTTATTGTCTCAGTTTGTTACTACTATCAGATCATTTGGATTCTACTTTGGGGATAGCAGCCAAATATTGTTAAATGGTTTATATAACATAATTTTTCTTCCTTCTAGATATTTTCCACATTTCAAATAGAGCTGTCTATTCACTCTCATAACAATATATTACAGGTATCATTATTGTCAATTGATTTATTTTAATTAGCTGCCAGACTTATTTTAACAATATAGTCACTATAGATGAAGTCTAAATTTTAGATCTGAAATCATAATCACTTGTCACATATTTTTCTTTCTTATGCATTATCTTACTGCATCTTTTCTAGATGTAATATTACTATTAATTTTTTTCATGGATTTTATTTATTATTATTTTTCAATTTTATATAGCCACCCATCTCATGAGTAGTGACTCTGGGTGGTGGACAATACTCAGTAAAAAAAGAATACATATGTAAAAACAGACATTTAATCATCTCTATTTTAATGCTGATTTTTCTATTTTTAAAACTAAAAATGTACAAACCCAAAGCAGAGATAGTGAGTGCAGATAGTCCTCGACTTACACTCGCACTTAGCAACCATTCAGAATTACAATGGACTTCCCAAAAGGTACTTAAGACCCAATATTAAACTTTTTTTGGCTTACTCCTCAGTGGTCACATGACCGCATTTCAGATATTCAGCAAATGACCTGCATTTATGCCTATTTGCAGCGTACCACAGTCACTTGATTTTTGTCAAAAACTGGCATTTTTGACACGTTCCCTCAGACCCCATTCCTAGGGAAAGAAGTCCCCCAAAACCATAAATCTGGGGAATTCCATTCCCAACCCAGAAATGGAGTCAGGCAGCTCAGGTACAGAAGCTGCTATACAGCAAGGAGGCTGGTATTTTAGCAATAGGATAATATTTTATTGGCCAAATGTGATTGGACACACAAGAAATTTGTTTGCAGTGCATAAGTCTCACTGTATATACAAACAAAGTAATATGATCATAAGTTACCAATAGAAGGTAGTAGAAAAGATGAGAAGGATAATAGAATACAGTCATACTACATGGTTAAATAGACAGAAGACAGTACTGTGGTAATTAGGTATTCAGCAGAGTGATGGCACAAAGGGAAAAAACTGTCTGGGTCTAGTTGTTTTAACATACAATGCCCTATAGCAGCGTCCTGAGAGGAGGAATTGAAAGAGTATATGTCCAGGATGTGAGGGGTCTGTAGTTATTTTCTCTGTCCTCCTTCTGAACCATGCAGTATACAGATCCACAATGGAAGGCAGGCTGGTTGCAATTAACTATCCATTGAAGTCTGTATCTGTCATGTTAAACCAGATAGTTATAGAAGTATAAATGACAGACTCAATAATTCCTCTGTAGAACTGTACTAACAGCTCCCTGGGGCAGTCTGGACTTTCTGAATTGACGCAGGAAGAACATTCTTTGTTGTGCCTTTTTAATGATGGTTCTAATGTTAGGTGTCTATTTCAATTACTGGGAGATTATAATTATACTTTAGATTGGCAATTTTATTATTCTAAATTCTTAAACAAGTCTTATACAAATTGCATAATGGCTTATTATATTAATTTTATGTTCAAAATTCTTAAACTTATAATTTTACATGTATTTTGTGACTTTATAGCCTTTTCATTTTAGACAATTTTTGTGCTGTATAGGCTGCATTGATATCAGTGTGCCTTCCCCCCCCCCCATACTTGTTTTGCTGGTCAGTGACCAAAATGACTGATTTCCTTAGGCATGGACGGTGGGGATGGAGTGGGAATAAATACCTAAGCATGAATTACTCCTTGGGAACAATTGAATTAAGGCAAAAATCAAGCAACAGTTTTGAAAATAGTCAGTAATTTTAAAATATCTAAAAAAAATAGAAACTGCAAAGATTGATTAAAGATTGATAGATATTTCAATTAAATTAGATATTTCAGAACTGTACTTTATTTTACTTTTTCTCTGCTCTCTGCCTGCCTGTAATATTTCTTCAAATGCTTGCAATGTTCTTAAGTAACTGTTTAATAAAACAGAATTGTATCTATTCTGCATTTTAGCTGTATATGTACATGATTGTCAAATGGATCACACGGGCCAAGAACAAGTTTCTGTATGTCTCCAAAATGCAAGTTATTTTAAATCAATTATGTTAACTATGTATTAAAAATTAAGCACTTCTAGAAAGCATGCCTACACAACATGTGGCCTGCCAAGCAATGTTGAGTGGCCTACCAGCAAGTTTTTAAGAAGTGATAAATTCACCAGTGCCCCAAAAGAGGCACTGCCAAGCATCTCTAAGCCTCAGTGCCACTCTCAACTCCAGTACTTGCTTTGCTCAGCTAGCCACAAAACACCTGTAAAACGTTAAAGGTAAAGCATTAAACTTGGATCAGAAATACCAAGGTTCAAATCCCCAGCTGAACCATAGAGTTTAGCAAGTCACTCTGTTTCAACAAAACTGAAACAGTTATTGTTATTCAGAGGATAAAATGAAGTAACAAAATCACATGCACTCTTGTGAGCTTTCAAACAAAATGCAGGCCATAAATGCAAAGACAAAAATAATAAACCTGGGTTCTCTGTGGTTCTCCAATTTACCAAGGAATGATTTTATGTTTCAGTTGTTATAAATTACTGCATAGAATTAGCTTTGACAATATAGCCTTTAAGTAGAATTAAATATTTGATACCTGTTTTTTCTTTATACAAAACTCCTTTGGGTCTCTTTATGTTTTCTTTGGATGAGGAATGGGTAGTGGCTTGAGTAGATTGCAAGACAACATTTTCTTTGTATTCTGGTCTTAATCGATCCTTAATAAGTCCTGTCTCCAAGTTCCAAATAACAAAATGGTCTCTGAAAATATAGTAAGAACCAGATAAAACAATCAACAATGTACTATTTTTGATTAGACATTCTATTGACTTATAAACATTTAATTTGTAATAAAGCATAGGAGACAAATTTAAATTAAAAGGTGAGTTGAAAAGTAAAAGAATGCCTGGGTTTACAAATTTCTGCTAAATTTATCGGTTAAAATTAATCCAAATATTATCCTAAGAATTGCCATTTCATGTTTATTTTTTATTTTCAGTCTCAAAACAGATTTGAGCTTTCTGATTTTGTGATATACTCCACTGATTTTACAATTCACAAAAAAGCACAATTTTCTAAAAAAAATTAATTGGTTAAGGTTGGAAGTTTAAAACTATTCTAAACTGGTCATAGTTTTTTTTTATTAAAAGTTTTTTATTTTTTCAATGTAAACATTATAAGAAAAAAAATACAATACAATTTTGAAATAAGATAAATTCGTAACCATTGGTACGACCTGCCCACTCCCCCCAGGCTGCGTCCACCCTCTCTTAAAACATTCCCTACTTCCCTCCTCTTTCTCACCTCTCATCCTACTCTCTTCCCCTCCCCCTCTCCTCTCACTGCCCTACTTCCTCTCTACACTTTCTCACCTCTCATCCCTATCAAACCCATGAATGCAGCATAAGGGGAGTGCCCAGGCTGCACCCCTATAAGCAACCATTATCTATATTACACTTACCCCCCACATTTCTTCCCTCCCACCCCCAACCCCCCTCCCTTCACTTCCCAGAGCAGAATGCAGGGTTAATAATAAGAAAATTTATAATAATAAGAAGAAAAAAAGAAAGAAAAAAAGAAAAAAGAAAAAAAAAGAAAATATCATACTTAACCTTTAACTCCAATAACCTATAAGACCATTCTCTATAATATTTACTATAATATTCATTCATAAAATAAATGAAACTTTTTAGTTCCATACTTTTTCTGAATATAATCTATCCATCTTCTCCATACAGTAATATATCTTTCTTGTGTATGATCCTTTAAATAAGCAGAAATTTTTGCCATTTCTGCAAAACTAGATACTTTAAATACCCATTCTTCTAAACAGATTTGAGCTTTCTGATTTTGTGATATACTCCACTGATTTTACAATTCACAAAAAAGCACAATTTTCTAAAAAAAATTAATTGGTTAAGGTTTGAAGTTTAAAACTATTCTAAACTGGTCATAGTGATAGATGATGCAAATCAGGCATGTCAAACTTGCGACGTCACGTGACGTCGCGCAATGTATCGGGCCGGTTTTGCCATTGCTGACAATAGGGTGGGCGTGGCTTCCACGTGACGCATCTGGCCCACGGGCCAGCAGCTTGACACCTGGTGTAAATAATGCAATTTCTTTCCACATTATGCAATTTCTCTTCAGATCATAAGCACAATTACAATTTCACTTAGTGACTGCTTTGCTTAATGACTCAATTGCTGGTCCCAATTGAGGTCACTAAATGAAGACTACCTATAATAAAACTATGTGCTTTTTCAATAGCTGTAAAATGTTACCTGTTCTCAGAAAGACCAAGCAGAAGGCCTCCTTCTAGCATCTTGTATTCATTATTTGGACAAGGAATTATGTAAAGCCCATTCTGCTTCTTTATGTACTTCTTTTTCAGGAGATCATAAATTAACAGCGTCTAGAATACATAAAAAATTATTTCTGCTTGATGTAGATGCAAAGTTGTAATACATGCACATCTAGGAACCCTAAATATTCCTGGTTTTCTCATACTAGGACAGTGGTTCTCAACCTTTTTAATGCCGTGACCCCCAACCGGTCGTAAGTCTAGGACTACTCAACCGGTTGTAAGTCGAGAACTACTCAACTGGTGCAGCACCGTTTGCAGAATGGGACTTTTGGCGGGCTCAGCAGGGCAGAGACAGCCTGGACAATTCCTATTGGCTTTTGAAAGCCAATAGAATTAGACTCTATTCAAGAGAATCTATTCTATTGGCTTTCAAAAACCAGTAGAATAAAAGGGAGCAGCACAGCTAAGGAAAAGGGGAAAAAAAATGGTGGACTGCGTTGTTTGGCGACCCCCATGAAATGGTCGTTCGACTCCAAATGGGGTCCCGACCCACAGGTTGAGAACCACTGTACTAGGAGGTCTGAGGCCCTTCCCCGACAATCCCTACTGCCACTCACATATCAACAATTAGATGATCCCTAATTTCATACATATATCCATCATTTTTTAGTATTCTGCTATCCACTATTTTTCCCTATAAAATAACTTTCTGGCATTCAATTATTCAGGAATAGATGAACTGATGGTTACCCATATTTTCTAGATTTAACTGACAAATTTAGACTTAAACCCATTAATTCCTTAAAGGATGTTTAAATCCTTTAATACTTTTATTTCTCAACATTTTGGATAAGATTGTTCCAATTCACTACAAAATCATTTTCTTATCAGACTCAGCTTTTTCTCAATAAATTCATCATTCATGAAATCAGCTGAAAAGCAAAGGATCAGTATTTATAGAAAAAAAAAATGTGTTTAGTACCTGGAAAATCGATCTTGGAGGATCTGCAAAGGAGGCCATTCCCTTGCCTGTAAGTATATAAAGTTTCATGTCTCTAGCCAGTACGATGTCTGTGTTCTCTGCCAGCCCCCTTTCCATCCTCACAGCATTATGTTTACACTTGGATTTTACAATATTCCATACTGCTATGGCTCCTGGGCTTGTGTTTCGGCACACAGCATACCTTTGGAAAGATAGATATAAATAGTCTTGTTATTGCCATATTGCAAAAATGTCAAAACATTGTTATTTCTCTGTTGTTGAAAAAATGGCACGATTTTTTTTTATAATTTGCCATATACTTGTGAAACACTATTCCTTCCATTGTATTACTGCAGTAAAATAAAAAGCATGGTTTTATATGGAAATAGGATAATTGGTAGTTTTGAGTTATGGAATTAGGATTAAGAATTGCAGTAAGTGCAACTGAGTGATCAGCTGTATGCCTACCTGCTTCCCTTATCATGAGTTTCATTTATGTCCCCACTTTCCTCTAAGAGCTCAAGAGCTTACATGGGGATTTCCCCTCATTTTGGACCCACAACCAAAGATCTGTCATAGTGGATGGCAAGGAAGGCAAGTATAAATTCAAAATAACACTCATCTAATGAAAAGCAAATTGGACATAAAAAACTCAACCTTGAATGTATTTTTGTTTCTGAAATCAAGATGATGCAGATTAAAGTTGCATTATTTGAGAAAAACTGATGTTCTTTTCAGGTAAACTGAATGTTAGAATGAAAATATATTTCTGTATGTTTGTAAGTTATTGCTTCAATACAGTAAACTCTAAGATGTGTGTTCTATAAAAAGAATGATATGGCGCAAGGTTAATTTGGTTCAGTTTTATTCTATTTTTTATGACAACTGCCAGGAATGTAATCAGATGTATGAGCATCTAATCCTGAAATTCAATTCCTTGCCTATAATGCCGTACTTATCCTCAATTCTGATATGCAAAAGCATTTTGTCAAAGGCTTCCAATGTTTTTAATATTGCATGTATCTATTTCACAGGTTCCCATAAGAGTCTTTAGCTGTTATTCCAGGCTTGTTTAGCACACCATAAAATAAAATTACCATAATTAAATATAAAACTACTTAATCTTCCAGTAATAAGGGTTACCTTGAAGTAAGATGGGTGGCCTATAAATTTTATAAATAAGTAAATAAATAAAAGAAAATGTGGCAATGAGTATAAGTGCAGACACTTCTGTTATGAAGGTCCAACTTCTAATTTCTTTTCAGGCCTACAGAAACTTTTGTAGCCTCTGGTTTTTCTATAAGCTTGCTTTTGTTATAAACACAAGCAAAATAGAAATGTTATGTTGGAAACAGGCTGCTTCAGTTTTCCGTCCTGCCTTTACAATTGGTGAAAAATATATTTCAGGTCTCAAAGTGGTATAATTAATTTACTTCTAACATAAACATCTTTCCTATTCTGCCTTTTCTCGTTACCTGGGATAGTTTTTCATTGTCACGATATCCTGAATACCATTTGTTTTCTTTGCGTTGCTTGCAGTGACAGTCAAAGACTGGTCATTGATCTTGGAAGCCAAGTTCCAGGATCGAAGGTAATTATCTCCATCACAGAATGCTAAACAAAATCGAAGGTCAGAGCATATACCTACAGATATATGAATTATGATAATTAGAAAAGATCATTTTGGCCATTGTTCAGTAAATCTCAACATTCATTAATGCTTGTGTGATCATTTAAAAATTTCAATTAGAGCTGGAGTTGGCCTAGGGAACACATTCATGAAAATACCATTAAAAAAACAATTGGCATTTAGAATAACTGTATCCGAAACCATAAACTTGAGGGTATCTGGAAAGGTCTGGAGGAGCAGTGCTTTGGCTAATAGAAGTATTCCTGCTATATATTTTTCATTGCCATGCTACCAGATATTGATCAAATTTCCTTCTCATTACCTATATGTGATTTTTACTTCTTTATCTTTAGAAATTCAGGACATTTTATTGTTCTGAAGAACAGCCTTTGAGGATTTGCACATACCATGAGGTGTAAAAGTTTGGGAGCCCTTTTATTTTTCAGTATTTCTATATAAATATGATCTAAAATATATATGTTCTCTGCATAAGTTCTAAACTAAATAATTTTTTCATTTATTTATTAAGGAAAATGATCCAAAACTGTATATATATTTTAAATTCATAGTGTGGCAATGATCAAGCAAAATTTAGATTTTTGGCTATTCTTGTATGTGCAATGTAGGCATACAGACACTCTTTAGAATTCTGCTGAAGTTTTTAAAAATACAAGGCTATAAAAAGAAGATATATTTGAAAGAAAAAGGTATTAGTAGTATAATAAGAAAAAAGAAGTGAAAGGTATAAAACAATACAAATAAAGAAAATGCCAAATTTCATCTATCACATGGGTAATTAATAAATTCTTTAGCTATGCAACTAACTAGATTATTTGTAATCTATTGCTAGATTTTTCAGTAACATTGGTAACTGCATGGTGGACCATGGTGGGCAAAATTGGAAAGGTCAAGAGGACAGTAATGAAGACAAGGAAAATTGTTCCACCATTGATTCTAGTTAAATATATCTAGTTCAAATTATAAATGCTTTGTATAAAGCACTGTTACCCATGTTCCCGCTGACTATTCTTTTGCTACATTTTAATGATATTTTCACTTTTTAAACTCTCCTAATGACCTTTAAGATACTGTCCATTAAAAATGGCATTGATGAGATAGACTGTAGGGTTAATCTCATCAATGAGGAACCTTAGAATAAAGGAACCTTAGAATAAAGATGTCCCGATAACCATTTTAAAGAACATTTCCTCATGAATACCATTGCATTATCCTTAGGCCATTGGTGAAGCAACCTAGATTTGCTTATAACTATTTTAGTAGGGATTTCCATCTTCTGTTAAAAGAAATCTTGTCATATGAACCATTTGCAGTGGTTCATTGAATATTTAATGATGGCAGTTGGGACTTTTGGTCAGACCAACTCCTATTGGCTTCTTGAGGCTCCTATTTATATGCTGTCTACCCTTCCAAGTACTGGACACTCCCTCCTTAACATGTAGGGTTAATGCTCTTTTCAAAGAGCAGTAGCTCTTTTATTCAATATGTGTCTAGTGTTTTTTGAAGGAGAGCTAGGCTTGGGTTTAAAACTAGCACTAGCAGTCTCTGGAAAAAGCCAGTTCTGGTTCTCTTGAGGTTCTATTCTATTAAGGTTTATTTAAATTCTGAAAAGTGAGGTTTTGTCAGCTTTGAGTATTACAGATGTTTTATTCCCTATGTTCATAATGGCTTTAGCCTGGCCATGCTTTTTTTTTTTTTTTTTACTGATTTGTAGATTTTAGGTAGTTTATGGCAACCTCTCCACCCATGCTAGTCAATTTCTGAAAACTAATGCAGGATTGAATGGGAAGGAGCAGGTATCCCTATATTTTGATATTCTTGTTTACTTACTGAATGGGGAAAGCCTCTTACTTCTGGGTTATTATTACGCACTTTTTCTATAAAAAATGTTTGAAATTCATAGGAAAAAAATACTTACCACCAACAGGAACTGAAGGAAATTTAGCCAAGTGTTTGTGATCTTCAGACTCCAAGTTCCATGATACAATCTCAGTGGTGCCAGTATTTGGAATAGGACTGAATGCAACAAGATGAGATCCCAAATGATTTACAGCAAAAGTGTGAATATAATCATTGCAGCATCCCTTCAGACTATGAGCATAAGCAAAAGTATGGACATTGTAGAGCTCTATAAGAATAGTTTCTTGCTTTCGCATGAAAGGGCACCTATAACAAGATAATTAGTCTTAGATGAGATGTACTAATAGATACTCCTGAGTGTGTCTAAAAAGAGTTATAGAATAAAATAATACTATCTGTAAACAATTAAAAATTATGAGTATCTAGCTTTATTGTGAAAAGTATACAAATGTGTTTAAAACTAGTTCCATCAAATAAAATCTGAATCTGGTATGGTTCTGGCATGATGTAATGGCTGAATCTACAAATCATGATTGGGCATAGTTTGTTTAGTCCTGTTTTATTAAATAAACCATAACTGGCTATATTCACAAAACATCATATGTCAAAACCAAACAAATCATATTATTGCTTAGTCCAATGTGTGATAGTCCAATGTGTGAATCTATTCCAAGTTTGTATTTAGGCAAATAGCTATTGGCTTCAAATGTCCTGTATATCAAATAGAACCAACCCATTCCACATGAAAAATAAAATAGCTTATAACCCACATAACAAATCTTCATGTTGTTAAATTTTCTTGTGAGCTTACTAGATATCTAAATTAACTCAAATTTTTAGTTTTTGTAAATAGCATTTTGAAATAATAAAAAATTGTAAGACCTGTAAAGATTTTAGAATTCATAACGATTCTCAAGTCTATCCTAAAATCAACTACTGGTATTTAAAATAGATAAGAGTTTTTAAGCTTAATGAAGAAAATACATTTGAATATTGAGCAAACCAAAGTAAAATAATCTCTTGAGTTCAGAACATTTCTTTTAGGTAATTATATTCCTCTTAACAGTGTTTTCTCACTGCCTGAGACTTTAATTTTTTACATTCATTTACTGTAGCTAAGAAAAAGGAGTTGGAACTCTAATTTATTTCTTAGTAGATATGTAGAGAATTGTTGTACAAATGACATTATACATAGATTATACTACCAGTTCTCAAGAAACAAAAGAAAATTTCCTCACTAGCTTCTAACCATGGTGCTAACCTGTCCTGTCATATCCTTTTTCTGCCACATCCCCTTAATTTGTTTTCATCTTGTTCCTAGTCCATGAGTGAGATAGCCTTATATTGTCTTAACTGAAGCAATGATAAAGAGTATTTTTATTATTCTGACAATGTTCAATGGCGACCACAAGATGTATAAATTTTGTTAGGCTTTGTCACCTAGGAGGGAGTTTAGGGGGCTTCAGTGCCTTGAAACAAGTAACAGAGTCTGGGTCAAGATCATAATGAGAACGGCAGATTTGAAGCTGATGTGGTTTTCTGCTGACTGAGGGATGTGTGAAAGTGACAAAGTGAGCCAGCTAGGAGAGAATAAAAGAATAATTTGATGGTACTACCTGAAGATCACAAGAAAATAATCTTTAGTAATAGCCACCCCTTCAGCTGCAGCCATTCGTTCCTGGCTTTTCAGTTTAGCAACTATTTCTCCCTTTTTGCCACTGAAAACCATTGCTTCGCTTGCACTTCTGCAAAAAAGAGGCAAAAATACAGATGGAAACCATCATATTGCAAAATCAATGCTTAAAAAAAACCTTTTTAATCACAGATTCACATGTGGCTCACTAAGAATGCAAGTTTGAGGACTGTATTTTTAGTTTTTATTTTCAGAGCCATCAATAAGAAAAGATAAAGAACAAGATCTAAACCAATGAGCCAGGCAACTTTGGCCCTTTTCAGCAATTCCTTCATCCCATATGCCTCCCTACTTGAAGTCTCACAAGTCATAAAACCAAGCAACACACTGATATGCCCCCCAAAAGTATTTGCCATCTCACGTATCTCTTCTTTATAACTATATTTCTTTGATTGTCCAGAAAGTTCACATGACTGGAATTATTCCCAATTTCAAGTTCTAGTACATACTGTATCATTTCTGATGAGGCTATATAATTCTGCCTCCCTAAATTACAATCCTTTGTTATTTAACTGAAATTCCTGACAGAGGAGAGTATTCTATATACTGTAACTCAGGATTCAGCATTCAGTTCTGATATTTACTTGTTTGTTTGTATCCCACCTTTATTATTGCAGGAAGAAGTAGAGAAAATCTTGTATTATAAAGTAGCACCTGAGCAATTCTCAAGCTAAATTTGCCATAACTATATGGAATCTATTATATTCTGCAAACTAAGAATTCCTGAACCAATAGCTTATTTTTATGTAGAAAATTTTAATAATTTATTGAAGTTAAGTTATACTAACCTATAGGCACACAGAACATAATCTTTTACTGAGTTCTTTGATACTAGTAGAGAATGAGTCTTGTGCATAGGTGCTTCTTCAGAAAAAAGATAGACTTCATGGAGCATTTGGCACGAATTAACAAGATCAAAAACCTGAAACATTTGGGGATGAAAGTAAATAGAATCAACTAGCTGCTAGCCATTTCATATCAATTTAAAGGCCCATGTATATTTTCCCTCTTCTTTTTAAAACCTGCATTGTAGAATATAACAGGAAAAATAAAAAGGAAACAGTTATGCAGGAAGCCCTTGTTATCTGGGGTCTCATTAACTGCAGTTGGAAAATGTAGACCAGCTCCTCTAACCAGGGGTAAAGGTATCATGTATTTGTACAGTTTTTTTAATGCATTTTATAGATCTGTAGACTTTTATACATATGTAAGATATATTTTGCATTGCATTTCCTGTACTGTGAGAATCATTTTGGTGTGGTGGGAGGGATAGGCATTAGGCTAGAATCTGGGAGACCTGAATTCTAGTCCTACCTTGGGCACAAAGCCAGCTGGATGACTTTCTCTCAGCTCTAAGACGGAGGCAATGGAAAACCACTTTTGAAAAACCTTATAAAGCAAACTGCAAGGACTTGTCCATACAGTCTCCAAGAATCGAAGCCAATTTAACAGAAAAAAAAATACTATAGTTTCAACCCAGTAGCTTGATTGGAATGGAACACTTGCAAACAGGCAAGGCCAGCTGTATAAGAAGCATTTTTTTAACATATTGCTTCCAGAATCTATAACAAACCATTTATGTAAAATTGATTATCTATATCCACAAAAAAGAAATACTTAATTCCAAATGAAATTAGTGGCTTTTATTTTCTTTATATAATATATGGTTTCTGCCTACTGCATTGTTCCCCCAATGTTCCTGGGAAACTACCAAAGTATCTTGACAGGGGAGGAGCTTCTTCATATTTAATGGGTTTGCACAACTCTCTTAACTAAATTATAAATTTTGGCTCCTCCCTCTGAGAAGGAATGCTAACAAAATCATTTGTTTGTGGTCTCTTTACAATTATGCATATCAATTGAGCAAAGGGAAAAAAATATTTCCAGCTAGGTCTAACCAGAGCATATAGACTTTTGAGTTACTAAACCACTAACTCACCTGAATTTTGTGGTTCCCGCTAAAAAAAGCCAGCAGAAGTTGTCCATTCATTGAAGATGTCAGTATTGGTGTATCCAAAAACTCACCAGAAGTGTATACCACTTTTTGCAGGGAAAGATCCCAAATTTTAATGGTGGTCTTGTCAGACACAGCCACCAGTCTATTGTCCAAACATACCGTGATAGTACTAATATTTTTCCCAATTTCATGTAGAGTGAAGACCGCTTTGCCAAGAGTCAGATCCCACATTTTCAAAATACCATCTCTGGAAACTGTTGCAACTATGAGCGGTTTCTGGGTTTCTCCTATTGCTGTAATTTTGTCCAAATGACCTACAGATTCATGACAGCACAATTTTAGAATTTTCTCACAGGTAGAAGATTAATTTCAAAAAAATAAGTCTATTGACCTTTCTTTGAAGAGAAATTAATAGCTTTTTAGCCACATTATTGTTACAGCTCGTGTGATGAATACTTTGAGAATTATGCATGCCATATATTTAATCAATAATTTCTATTCTATCTTAAGATAGGTATCTTAATATCTTGACATGAGAGGAGCTTTTTCATATTGTTGTATTTGCACAACTCTCAACCAAATTACAACTTTTGTCTTCTCCCTCTGAGCAGTGATGCTAACAAAATCAAATTTTGATAATTAAGATTAGTTTTACTTTTCCTGGCTTGATGGTAAATTTGAACGATGAAAAATTGAAAATTAATACTTTTCTTGTGAAGGACTAGCCTATTTCTTCAGATATTCTATAGATGTTTCTGCTCATTAATATCAAACATTAGAGTATCAAAAATGGAAATATTTAATACTGCAGAAAATCAGAAGTATTTTTAGATCAATGAATAAATCCATGTACCTGACCTACAGAATGTTATTTTCTGAAGGATACTGATACACTAAACATTTCAGTTGGCCATGATAATATCAGGTATTAGCATCCATTAAATATATTATTCTTCAACAAAGTGTATAAAGTCTCTGGATAATCGACTCACTATTTCCTACATCAATCTCACCCAAAGTGTTGCCAAATATAGAAAAGAAGGCTGTGATTGTAGGGATAAAACTTTTTCTCCAGTCTCCAAGTTTAGAACTTCCTGAAATTATAAATTCTGGGTTAGGGATTCTCCCCCCCCCCCTCCCCTGCAAGAAAAAAAAATGCCTCAGGCCCTCTCCAGATCACTATAAAGAGAAATTTGGCTTGGTTAATCTACACAATTTCCTTTCCAGGATTTTTTCTACAAGTCCTGGAAGACAATGAAGATACACAAAGATCTGAACACAAAAATATTGCAAGTATCAGGAGCAAACAATACTTTACACATACATCTTTCAATTCTTGTTTCTTTTTTGATGGCCAGATGGATTAGAGCATCAAAGATTGCAGCCAATTATTTATATTTAGAATTGCTCTGCTCAAACCCCAAGAGCAATAAAACTGATTAAATCAATTAGTGGAAAGAAGCAATTAGTAAATCCACAGTAAATCCTTAAACAACTCTGAGAATTGTCTTGTAAAAATACAGTATTGGTGCCTCCTTTACAACTAGAGGAAAGATTTTTTCACAATTGAAACCCTATTACTGATTATACTGCATTGTTTAATGCAATGCAATAATTGATTCCTATCCTTACAAACAATAGTGAGAGTTGTTTCCTTGTGCCTGATTACCATACATAAAATTTAATCTGGGGCTGTTATTACGCAGTAGAACCTGGTGTTATCAGAGAGTGCAGTATTGTGAAACATGGTATTATCAAGCATTGTAAAAGCATGAAATCAATAACACATGTCAGAGGTAGATTGAATAGCATCAGTGCTACGAAATGATACACTCCAAAAACGAATTAAAGATATATCTTCCTCTTAGGTACATACTTTTTGTGATAACACTGATTATGTTTGTAAATAAAAGGTGGTTAGTTATTTTGTTTCTTGTCCAACTATTTACTTCCAGCACCAGCAACTTAAGGTTTCAAAGAAAACAAATTCGTGATTGTAATAACCATCTCATTAAATTGGCAGATTGTTCAGCACATCTACATAATAGCAAAGTTGATTTGTCTGTACCAAATTTCAAGTCACATAACATTGACATAGTATTGGCCAAATCTTATGGAAATCAGTCTATGTAAAATTCTTCATAAATTAGGGATTAAATCATTTCTGAAAAGATAAGATATCACCTTTCAAAAGATCACAGAGAAGTCCACCAGGAGCTATAAGGCAAGATGTTGAAGGTATAAGAACAGGAATAGAAGATTTCTGACACTGAGATAAAAGAATTGGCAGGTAAAGATATTTTTTTGGATCACCTGCATCAACATGGAAAAATGTGTATTAATAATACTATGATATACATTTTACACAGGAAATATTACGTGGTGCATTACTGTTTCCAATTCTTAAAGATTAACTTTTTCAGATATAGAACCTCTGTACTTCTTGTAGAGATATAACTTTCAAAGTATAATTATTATAGTTTATCTTCTAGAATTAAAAACCTCCATATTGAATCTTGTAGCAATTAGAGGTAAATAATACAAGATTGGCTTAGACATTGTTTAAAACATTTCTCTAAAAATAATGAAATAGTGTGGCTAATTTCCCAATAAATTCAAATGGACTATCTGGTATTTCCCCCCCCCCCCAAAGGAATAGCTATCAGCAGAGCTCACTATGCTAAAGAGAAATGAGCCTTCCATAGAAGAGATCAGCTTTGGTATTCCAATAAACATTTCAATCATCCAAATCAATAAATCAGGAATTCTTTTAAACTAAAGCTAAGGAATTGAATTGCTTTTAATCCTTGCTATCCTTTGGAAATGAATAAACAGTTCTTTTCAAATTCCTAGATGGCTCCACTCAACTTATCCTGCTGTTTCTCATCTATTTAAACTATAAATGTTTTCTAATGTAAATCTAGGTTGCTTGGATCTTGCTTATTTGATGAATCACCCTATTAAATTTTCCTTGTGCACTCTTGTTTGAATGTTTGCCTGCAGCTTGTTTTATGGGATTAATTCTCCAGATATGTATTAATAGTATAGTTTAATTCTGTCTTTGCTGTTTATATCCCAGTACAGACATACACAGATTAAAAACCAAAACACAGTAAAGAAATGTAGAATCAGATTTTTTCTATGAAAATCAGAGGTTCATAATTTGCTCTACCTGGTGCTACTGGTATATCAGCTGCAACAATCTGATGAAGACGGCCTATGAGCTGTGAAGCCATCTGACATGGATCTTTTATTAAAACCGTCTTGGACAATTTTAGAGTTTCACTTAATAAGGTTAAGTCAGGTATAGTCCTGTTGTGGGGGTGGGAGGGGGCAGAGAAAAAAAGGTCAGCATGCATAGTTTTGATTTCTTTGCAAATGTCTTAAGTGGTTTTTATAAAGAAGCTTTCCAAAACTGAACTATTCTATTTTTTATTCATTGCATGACAAAATGATGAGTAGAATATAAACACAAAATATTTGAGTGACAAATAATTAGAGTGTTGAAATACTCTTATTAAGGGTATGAAACATGACATATTTAGTGAGTTGTTGAACTATTTTTTCCCTTCATTATTAGCCAACAGGCACACGATTCAAGGCTCAGAGGAGTTCAGAAAAAACCAATTAGAGTTCTTTGAGAAGATGGCATACAGATCTGGTAAAATAAATAATGTCTACAAGTTTTCCAGCCAGGCTTTATCTGAATGTTATTTTGATGTATGGTGAATCTCTAAAACATATTTCAACGTAGACTATTCCAGACTTTCCCTAATTGATACCGTCTGGAACCCCCTGGTTCTAATGGGATTATAAATCCTAGCCAGCATCACAATGATGTAGTAAGTGGAGAACATTGGGCTACTTCATTATATTAGGTTAATGCAGAATTCTATTTTACTATTGTGAACTGACCTGTCAGCTTTAATCGCTGCTCCTAGATCTTCTTCAATGCTGACAATTGATGAGGCCCAGGATTTGTACAAAAGAAACTCATAATTAAAGAGACATTCTTTGATTAGAACAGCAATATTATTTGATCTGATGAGGTGATATGGAGCCCCAAAGATTTTACGGACATTGAAGGTGTAGCTGGTCTTGGATTCTTTTTTCAGAGTCCAGGCCAGAGGCTGAAATATTGATGGTTCATTGCACTTCCTCAACTCCTGTGAGCTTCTATCTAGGTAATAGTCAGCAAAGATAGCATGTAGTGATATTTGGGAATCTTGTGATTTCAGGTATCTCTGAATGCACACATGCTTTAAAGAAGTATGAGCCCAAGTAAAAACATATGTGTTATCAGTTCTTTGCTCTCTCAAATCATCTCCAAGATCATCTAAAAATTTCAACCATAACACTAGTGGAAACGGTGACATTGAGCTTTTTTGGAATTTATTTATTTGTTGAATGACCACACAATCCATTGACATGAGGTTGAGCAATTCTTCCTGAGTGATGCCATTTCTTGAAAGTGTCACATAAGCTGCAATCCTTTGTATAATTTGTTCACCATGAGATCTTTCCATTCTGCTCAACCTCCAAGAATACATGTCAGGTATACTTTGAGGGAGACACACCTCCGTGTCTGGGCTGAAAGATGTCCATAAACAGGATTCTTTATAAGCACAGTATAGGTAAAGTGGCAATGGACAGGCTATGCATGCTTCCACTAAGTGCTTGAACTGATATTGGGTGAGTCTTCGATGATCCTTTTTGAGCCAAAAGATGATAATTTCATTGATTTCTTCAAATGTTAAAGGAGGTATTTGAAAAAAATGTTCTTTCAAGGTTATTTTCTAAAGAAAATAAACGTATCTCAGTTTTTGCACTATTATCAATCACAAAAACAACAGGATCACTTTTGCTAATCAAATGCAAGACAATCTAATCAAATATTAGAACAAAGGAAATTTTACATTACAGTGTGATTTTGCTGTCACTTAATCCAGTAATCACAGGTCTGATTTTCAGGTTTACAATATAAACTCAAAACAGCTGAAATTGTGCATGTTTAGTACACATGTGTGCACAGCTACAAAGTAGGTTTACATTAAACTGTGTATAGAGGAACAGGAGCAGATCTTTCCCCTTCTATCTTGTCCTCCTGAGTTCAATTTTGTAGTACTTTTCCACCAAGTCCACCTAGTACTAAGACAGGCTGAGAAAAGGTCAAAATACCAGGGAGGTTAAGACATGAGAAGCTTTTTTGTTGGACCCACCCTTCACCTTGAACACCCACACTTTGTTGTAAAATATTAATTTAAAAGAACAAAAGTCCTGCTTTATACACAAAACTGTTCATTTTCATCTTTGTATATGAATGCAAACTTGGAACTGAGGTCTCAGCTTAAAACTATGTCTGATTGCTTAATTTTTTCCCAGTTTACCAACAAAAGCTTTTAGATTTCTATGCCAACAGCCACAACAAAATTATTGGTCTATTATCATTTTGTTTAAGGAACATAAAAACATGACAAATAGGTAGGGAAATGTGCTGGAATATAATATATTCCCCACAATGTTTAGGGAATCTAACAGAATTCCACAACACTGGTTAATAAAATATTGGTGGTAAGTCTGGTACATAACTTTTCTTGAGAACCCAAAAGAATAAAAATAGTATTCTGCCAGTCTTTAGATATTCTAGAATGGCAACTTCCAAAATTTGAACCCTCCCTTTTCAGTAATTCAATGAATTGCTGGTCAATGTTGTGAATCCTATGCTGATCCCACAAAATTTACGATTGTATTATAAGACAACGGTCCCCAAACTTTGTGACTTGGCAATCCTGTTGGAGGGGGGAAAGGAGAACCAGCTCAACTTGCGCAAGCAGTGGGCCAGCCCATGTGCATGTGCGTCAGCCCACTGCTCACATAGCCTGGTTACGAATAGGCCACGGCCAGTGGTGGGATTCAAATAAGTGGCATCTGTGTGGATGCCGCTTCTGGAAATCCATTCTGGGCCTGGGCAACAAAAAATTAGCTACCGGTTCTGCCAAAGTGGTGCGAACCGGCTGAATCCCACCACTGGCCACGGCCCAGTAGTGGGCACCTTTGAAGCAAAAGCAACTGGCAACATAATAATTTTGATTTCTTATAACAGTAGGTCTGGGGTTGAGGACCCCTGTTATAATTAATCAAAATTATGTTGCCAGTTGCTTTTGCTTAAAGGTGCTTAGCATTATTAAGCTTCCTTGGAATTCCAACTATACGAGAAGATATGGAATGAAAAACAATTCATTCAGGAACTTCATTTACCTGCAGTTTTCTTATGCATGAAACATCTGATTCCAAGCAAGTAGAAACAATAAAATGCACATTTTTTGGTAATTCAGATGGTATCCAAGAAAGGTCAGCACCACATTCCTCTGATAGTTCATTTATACCATCAAGGCAGATTAGGAGTGGCTTGTCTTGTGTAGCAAATTCCAGCAGAGAGGAAAATTCTTCTACCAGTCCTTCAAAATCCTTTTTTGAAAAAGAAATATAATTATATAATGAGTTATGTGCTGTAGGTGAGGCCACAATGACTTTGGAAACGTTTCATTTCTCATCCAAGAAGCTTGTTCAATTCTTCTTGGATGAGATGTGAAACATTTTCAAAGAAAACTTTTGTAAGTTTTAGGGGATGAGATTGTCATAAGAATGTTGATAATACTATAAGTTTTGAGAATTATCTAGGAAAACAATACAATTTTGTCTAAATAAATAGCATGATCAAAGATGTGGATGGGAGACCATCAGAAAACCCTATGGTTGATTTCTGGTTTGATGTCATGGCATAACGGGTGCAGGAAGACGGGCCTCCATCTTCCACGTTCGATTTTGCTCCACTGGGGACCCTAAATAGGGTGAAAGTCGCCCTGAAGAGGCAACAAAGAAGGAAAGGACCTTCGTTGATCGTGGAGGGGCAGCAGCCCTTCCGCTGGATCTGAGGAAGCCCTACAAACTGGTGGTGGAAAGACTGGCTACATTCGTGTGGCCAGTCAGAAGCTGCTGACAACCGAAGACAAGCACTAGCTAGCAATTTCTGAGCAACATGGATGGAACTGGGTGAGATTTTATCCTTTTTTTATGGCCCTAACACTACTTTCCTGGAAAAAATACCCAAAGCAAAAAATCCTCCCTGATGAGAGAGAGAAGAGAAGTTATTGCCCTGCTCCCTCAGGAAAAGAAAAGTGGCAAATTAATTGCTTTGGGGAAAAACGGGAAACTACAAGTTCAATTTGGAACTAATAGAGATCTAAAGATTTGAAATTTGGGGACTAAAAGTACCTTTGAGACTTTTTTTAGAAAAAATATTTGAAAGTTTGCAAAATAACCTTGGATTAAGAAAGCTGGCAGACAGTGTCAACAATATCTAGTGGAGAATTATGGCACTACAATTTATTATGCTTAAGGGAAACTTGGCTTGAAGCCCAGACTCAGATAAGACTCTGTTGTTCCTGGACACTTTCACTTTTGCAGACTGCAACTGGGAAAAGGGAAAAACAAAAACTCTTGGGCTGCTTATCTGGGTTGGGGACCTATAAAGACTACATACAAAAACAAAATGAGTGTTCCATACTCAGCCTTAAATCATACAAAATCATCTTCAATACCTGTTTCCAAAACTCCCAGTTTGATATATTAACAAAAAATGTAAATGAATCTCAGAAAGAAATTATTTCCATGTTGAAATCAATCCAAGATATAATTGTTTTATTTCAGAATAGACTAAAAATAACACAAATGAGAAAAGAGAACAATTTTCTAACCTAAACATACAAATCCAGAGAATGACTGCAAAGAAGGAACTAATAAACCAGAAAACAGAAGGAAAATTAGGAGAAACAGATCCAAAGATGGAGGACATAAAGAAAGGAATTAATAGACAGATACAGACAAATGAAAAATTAGAAGATGCAGTGATAATACCAGAAATGGAAAAGACATCGTACTTGTCAGGATTTCAGAACACATTTGAGGATAAGGAAGAAGAACCGATCGAATGGATGATAAAGCTGTTAGGAGAAATACTGAATATTGGCAAACAAGAAATGAAAAGAAAGATGGAGGCTGTTTAATGAATACAAATGGGTTGAGTGTTCATCCAAAAACATTTCAACCAAATTCTTTTCCTCATTCCAAATAATATATACAAAAACAGAGGAAGAACTACTTGATGATTTAAATGTACTGACCTAGAAAGTTATTTGGCAAAGGAGGAAAGCTAGAGTAAGACTGAGGAACATTGAGGTTCTGACCTATTAGATGGGATATTATACTACTAAACAGATGTTTGAATATGGCTAAGAAAATAGATAACTGTTAGAAATAAAAATATTATTATAATTAGAAGGATAGGATTTGTAACTAGAATATTATACTTTGTTATAAGATGGGAAATATGAAAATTCTAAAAGGGTTTGAATAAGGGAATCTTTTGGTTACCCAAATATAATTTATTATGAGAAAATTATAAGTGATAGAGATATTTTGAACATTGATGGGAAATTAAAATTTTTAAAAAGCGGGAAAAACAGGATATTGATTGAATAAATGGATTTTAAGAGCAAATGCAATTGAGATATATTTTGGCTAGAAAAGATATTATAAATTGATACTATCGATATTATGTATAATACCACAAAAATGTGATGAAGATGTCTATATTTAATTGTATATGTATTAACAGTAACAAGAATTGTATTTGCCCAGTATGGAAAAAGGCATACTACCGGAAGAAGAGAGGACCAAGGAAACAGTGGATGGTGTGCTATTGGACTGAGAAAGTTAGTATGTACAACTGAATTACTAAAAGATCCAGACAACATGTTGCTTATTAAGTACTTATGATTGTAAAATTAGAAAATTAATTATATATATATATATAATTGGCTGCAGAGGATGGTGGAAAATTTCAAAATAAAACAACTAGAAGAAGTTGATGGAAATACCATTCCCCTATTGTTGCCAAAAAAACTTCATAGATGTTTCCTTGTAATCAACCAGGAGTCAATCTCAACTCAGAGAGTGTTTACACAATCATAAGAAAACCTGAAGTTTTATTAGAGTGTATAATTATGAATAACAGACTAGTTCAGTGGTTCTCAACCTGTGGGTCGGGACCCCATTTGGGGTCAAACGACCATTTCACGGGGGTCGCCAAACAACGCAGTCCGCCATTTTTTCCCCCTTTTCCTTAGCTGTGCTACTCCCTTTTATTCTATTGGCTTTTGAAAGCCAATAGAATAGACTCTCTTGAAAAGTCCCATTCTGCAAACGGTGCTGCACCAGTTGAGTAGTCCTCGACTTACGACCGGTTGAGTAGTCCTCGGCTTACGACCAGTTGGGGGTCACGGCATTAAAAAGGTTGAGAACCACTGGATTAGTTAGAGGTCAAATAGTTCTAAGAGAACTTAGGATGGGAAGGAAGTGCAATTAAAATTCCGAACAACCCATACAACAATTTTAAATGTTAGCAAAGGAAAACATATTTAAAGAGATGCATCACAATTTCAAAAATGTTTTTGCAGAGAAATTGCTTGTGTGTTTATACAGTGAAGTTTCTCTGCAAGACCATTTTTAGATTGTGCTCAGTGATGCAAATGAGGATTTCCCGTTGCTTTCTTGTGCTGACCAGATAAAGAGCACCATCCATTCTGTCCATACCATAATCCCACCTCACCCTCACCTTGCACCAAGTTCCTTCTCCCTTCATCTTTTAACTATAATTTTATTTTGATTATGATTTCTATTGTTATTGTTTCAAAATATTTTTTAGAATTTTAATGTTTTAATGCTGTAAACAGCCCAGAGTTGTTTCGATATGAGATGGGCAGCATCTCATCTAAATAAATAAATAAATTCAGCTAAAAGGATATTATTTGTGCTCTCTCCCTTTATTATCAAATCAGATTAGGTGGCATTATTTTCAAAATATTTTGCACTCATGGAAAATATCATGCAAGACTATTTTATTGACAAAAATGCCCTTAAGCTGAGCTTTACTTCTAGGAACTGTAGAGCTATGTGCTTATTTGCTATTATCTCGTGTTTTCTGGTTTTTGTTCTACTCAGGGTAGAGTAGATGTGCCCTAAAATTTGCCCTAGAACTCACAGGAAGCCCCAATCCCACCTCAGTCCCAAGACTGGCCAAGGTTTGTGACCTGCTACTGCTTTATATGACAAACCATATTGGCATAATAAAAATGCATTGGTGCTTGATCAAAACAAGGAGGAAATAAACAATACCTCAGATAAAGTAACAGAAACATGATAAATGTCAGCTATTTGGTAGCAAAGACTCAGAAGCAGCCGTCGGACATTTCTGCTTTCTCCAGTTATACCAATAAATCGAAGCACAACTCTGAGATTCCTGGGTCAAAAAGGAAAAAATAAATAAAGCCTCCCTTTCAAAAAGGCTCTTTAAATTGCTAGTTTGAACCTTTAAAGTCTTTTTGATTTGGGTCAGATACTTGAAAGACTGCCTGTCTGTAATATGGTCCCTGTTCCACAAAAGAAGGTGAAATAGGGGAATTCTGGGCAAAATAGTGTTGTTTTTGCTCCAAACTATTTTTTCAAGGGGAGTTCTGAATTCACTCAGATTTTAAAAAAAAATTAAAAACCACTTGCATTAAAAAAGGACTACAAAGATCTTAGCTTTTATTGCTTGAATTATCTTTTATTTCAGAATCTAATAGAAATAATGTTTTGTGCTACATTATGATCTCTGGTACATTTTAAGAAATATATTTTATTATTTGTTTAGTAGAATATTTTCAAGATCCTATGCTGGTGGTGGCCTATCCCAATTTAATAAATAAAATAGCTGTACTATATATGGGATGTGAAATTTTAAAAATGCTCCAACTCTTGACTGCAATCTAATAGTCATCTGGATTTTAAAGTTGATATTTTTAAAATAAATGTGTGGTTATTGAACTGAATTGAGCATAAAATATGCAAATTATTACAAACTTAATATGCATTTTCAATATAAAGTTATTTTACATAATTCAGAGGACTTTGGGATCCAAATCAAGCCACGCAGCAATAAGTAAGATCTGTTAAGAATTTGTTCAAATTCTATGTTGACTTTTTGAAGACCAATTTTCAAGCTATCTATATTTCCAAGGACTTACAATTCTTGATATCTCTGCCAGAAAGGAGTGCAAATAATGATTCTTACCCAGAAATCCAGTTTGAAGCTAAAGAAGCTACTTCTGCAATAATGCCACTTTTTCCTGATCCTGCCACACCACAAACAACAGTTACTTTTCTGTTTAAAGATGTAACCTGATTCTTCAGCTTGATCAAGATTTCTCTTCTTTTTATATGTCTAATCCTATTGGAAGTGGAAAAGCATATTTTTGTAATGTCATTGCATAGGTGAAAGTTGCAATTTTTAATCAATTTAAGCAAAACAGTTTTTCCCAGACTACTCCTACTCCTACTATTACTATTACTACTACAACAACAACAATAATAATGGAAGGGACCTTGGAGGTCATCTAGTCCAACCCCCTGCTCAGGCAGGAAATCCTATACCATTTCAGACAAATGGCTGTTCAGTCTCTTCTTAAAAACTTCCAGTGTTGGAGCATTCACAGCTTCTGGAGGCAGGTTGTTCCACTGATTAATTGTTCTAACTGTCAGAAAAATTCTCCTTAGTTCTAGATTGCTTCTCTCTTTAATTAGTTTGCATCTATTGCTTCTTGTCCTGCCTTCAGGTGCTTTGGATAATAGCTTGACTCCCTCTTCTTTGTGGTAGCCCCGGAGATATTGGAACACTGCTATTATGTCACCCCTCGTCCTTCTCTTCATTAAACTAGACATACCTTATTCCAGCAACCGTTCCTTATATGTTTTAGCCTCTAGTCCCCTGATCATCTTTGTTGGTCTTCTCTGTACTCTTTCTAGAGTCTCAACATCTTTTTTACATCGTGATCAAAATTGGATGTAATATTCCAAGTGTGGCCTTACCAAGGCATTGTAAAGTGGTATTAATACATCACGTGATCTTGATTCTATCCCTCTGTTAATGCAGCCTAGCACTATGTTGGCTTTTTTGGCAGCTGCAGCACACTGCTGGCTCATATTTAAGTGATTGTCCACTAGGACTCCAAGATGCCTCTCACAGTTGCTACTATTAAGCAAGGTACCACCTATACCACAGGTCTTTAAATTTGGCCCTTTCATGACTCATGGACTTCAACTCCCAGAATTCCTCAGCCAGCATGCCTGGCTGAGGAATTCTGGGAGTTGAAGTCCATGAGTCATAAAAGGGCCAAGTATGAAGATCCCTAGCCTATACTATACCTGTGCATTTGATTTTTCCTGCCTAAATTTAGAACCTTACTTTTTTCATCATTGAATTTCATTTTGTTAGTGTCCAATGTTCAAGTCTGTCAAGATCCTTCTGTATCTTAAGCCTATTTTCTGGAATGTTGGCTATTCCTGCCAACTTAGTGTCATCTGCAAATTTGATGAGTTCCCCTCATCCAAATCACTGATGAAGATGTTGAAGAGAACTGGGCCCAGAACAGAGCCCTGGGGCACCCCACTACACACTTTCTAAAAGTTTTCTAACAGAAGACTTTTTTCTTGAACTAAAATTGGAGTCCTCTGTCTCAGTAACATTCAGAAGTATGCTTTTAGACTGTTTATAGGAGTACTAATATCTTGCTTTGCACTTAAACAGGAAAGCGTTAATGGCGACAGACTGGCTACAAATGTATTTTATAGCAGCTGCAAAGCTGGTAACCTGCAGGAATCTCCTTTCTTAGGAGAAGCTGTAGGTAAGAAGCCCTAGGAAGTGCTAAAAATGCTTGGAGAATCCTTCCCATAAAAACATCTTACTTGATTTGCCTTTTGTACCTACAATAACATTTTCAAGACTATGGGCAGACTCTTTGATTCAGCGGAGCATATTGATCAGGAAAGATGTTTGGCAAAACAAAAAGGGGGGGGGGGCTAAAGTGAGAATTAAGAAATTAGATGATGGGATTTATCAGAGGAAATATTTAAAAATTAAACATCTGTTTGACTATGGTTAAAGAAATAGAAATATTTTGGATATAAATAAATTTTAGTTTAAGAGGAATGAGCCCCTCAAGTAACATAGTATTTTTTCTTTCTTTTTTCTTTTGTTTTTTTGACATGAGATATTTAAAAATGTTGAGATGGTTTATATAAAGGAAATATTTTAGATATTTAAGTGTAATTGATCTTGAGAAAACTTCAGTGGATAAAAATGTTTTGAATAGATCTAAAAGATTAGATAATTGGATTTATTAAATGGAATATTTAAAGATTAAACATTATGTTTGAATATGGTTAAAAAGAAGAGAAAAATTCTGGATATAAATGTACATTAGCTTAAGAGAGACATGTATTTTAAGTAGTATACTATCTTCTTATTTCTCTCTCTCTCTCTCTCTCTCTCTCTCTCTCTCTCTCTTTAAGATATGAGAAATGTAAAAGTGTTGGGATGGCCTGTATGAGGAAAAAGACTTAAATACTGAAGTGTAATGAACTTTGAGAAAATTTTAACCAGTAAGAATGTTTTGAACATTGTGAAGAAAACAAATTTAAATAAGAATTTTGTAAACAGGATCTATGAGGAGGCAAACAAGATGATCAGTTAGAAAAGAAGCTTTATATTGATGTGGTTATTATTTGCAGAAATATTAGAAAAATGTCTATATTTAATTATTTATCAAAATAATAAGAATTGTATCAATTCAAGGTTGTCAAAAGAGAATATTATTGGAAGAAGAGAAAAATCAAGCAAGCTACTATGTGGATTATAGAATTATAGAAACTAATTATTATTGACTGTTTTTTAAATATAAACCCAGACAACACACTGTTTACCAAATATTAAGGTGATTATGTTAAAAAAATCAATTATATATATATATGTACGTATGTATGTATATTTTAAAAATGCTTGGAAAAAACTACTACTTCCCACTGCAGTTCCAAGGAGGGACCAACCAAGTGGAATGGAAAGCAACATGCAGTTTGGAGAAGACACTGTAATTTTGGGCTAATATAGGTTCATACTAAACCAAATCTAAATATTGCAAAGCACCAATAAACCTTTGATGGACTGCTAGCGTTGGAAACAAGTCACAAAATCTCTGCACCCCTAGGACAAGCTCCACTTAGAAATAGGGTAAGCAAATTTGTTATTTGTTTAGTGTTTGTTAAGTCTGTATAATGAAAAAAAAAACTGGAGGCACTATCTATGTTAGAATAGGTGATATGGGACTGGTTAAGAATATGGTATAATGTAACAAGTACTCAACTCTCTCTTCCTCCTTTTATCTTAAAATCCTCAAGGTTTTTCAACAAGTGGGCAGTGTTTGCACAAAATAAGTGAACCATAAATGAATTAACCACATTTGATACTACAATCTGTGTTCATTGTGTTATGTGAATCCAGAAAACATGACCGAATAAAGCAGAGTCCACTTAAACATGATTCCCAACAAAGTTGTTGTGACCTGGGCTGCATGCTGACTAGCACTTCTTGTGTGAGTGGAAACTGTAATTTTCAATCCCATTCATGCAGCTCCATGTCTATGCTGAAACAATGAAATGCTTAGCAATTCAGGTGGAAGGGTTATTTGCAAATTAGGGTAAACACTCAAATAAATATTTGCCTGCTCTGTCTAAAGTCAGTTTAGTGCATCCTACCAGGAAGAGAATAGACTGCCAGTCTAATAGTAGAATAAATTGAAAAGAATAGGCAACTAACACAACACACTTTTTACCTGTCTGATTTTACAGCTCCTTCCCAAAAATTTCCCCAGACTACACTAATGTTTCGTTATTGTATGGTGATATAACATTAAAAGTATGCAATATAATTTTTTTCCCTTGGGGAATGGCCTGAACACTGTTCAAATGAAGTGTTGAATTCAGCATGCTTCAAACATCCACAGTACAAGAAGCTAATAATGATGTCTTTATATATTATAGTACCACATATATTAGTGAACTCTTACAACTCATTCCACTTTCAGTATATTCCTTTTGATGAAAAGTATTTCTGGTAAGTTAAGCAATAGAACCTTACAAAACTTACAAGGTCTGATAATGCTGAATGTGTTCCAGAATCTCTTCATCATTAAGAATGTTAAACTCTTGCTTTCTTTTAGTATATAGTCTTTCTGGAGCGCCTTCTGAACTAATGATTCTGGTCAAATTAAAATAGAGAAAAATAATTTGTATGTTATATAGTGTCCATGAAAGCATGAAATTATACTCACAAAGGCATATTGAAGCAAACATGCTTTGCTTTGCTTTGAGGGATTCCGAATTCCATTTGAATTCAGATATATCCTAGATTATTTTGGATTATTCAGTATTGGATATAAGGTTTGTTTCCCTTGTGCAGTATTTATTTGAAATTACCATTTTCACAAAAATGAAGAATGGTTTAATATAAATAAAGAGACACTTATACGCACAAAATATTCAATTAACAATATCAACATTTTTTCAAAAATATTACTTTTTTAGTATCACACTTCATTGAATATTACTATTACTTTCAGTGCATCACCATTTATCTTTTCATGTCTTATAGGTCGAATCCAAACTTATACAAACTTAGAACAGACTCACAGAAATTAAGTTGGTCATGATTTCCAATTAATTAGAAGTGATCTATAAATATAGGCAAAAAAATTAATTTGTAATTTGTCTTAAGAAGTTAATCTGAGCATAGAATGTAACAACAATGTGTTCTGTTCTATTTCTAGGATTAAGTATAGAAAGCCAGTTGATGGAACCCTAGTTTTGTGAATAAGTTATGCATTGAGTGTCTATAGTTCTTTTCAAAAAGCAGATATGATGCTAACCTGTTGAAATGATTAATAACAATTTTCTGAAAGTCATTGCAAAGGCATTCCAGATAGTAGGCATGGGACCTGTTCCTGTTGGGATTGATGCCACCTTTTCCCCAGCTAACATTCTTTTTGTAAATATTTGTATGACGAAGCTGTAAAGGCAAATTTATTAACTCCTTATATCAAGGAAAGTGCTTTCAAGTAGATTAACAGAATAAAAGATCCAAAGCTTCTTATACTCTTTGACTGAAAAGAAGATATAGTATATAATGGTGAACAAATTGTAAACAAATAAAGTGATAAATTAACTTTTCAAATTTTCATTAACATTATGGTGTGTAGCTGATTAGGAAATCAAGATTTTCAGCATACCCATACCCATACATTTTTCTCAAACAGCTGCATTGCCTAGCCACAGATCTCGATAAGCTTTACTATACTATAATAAGATGTATTACAACTCTCAGTTCTTTACAGTTCCCTCTGTAAAGTAGGGTACTTTTACATTTACCCTTACTTGTATAGAACATGACAACCTATGACCATTTGATAATCCTACCCTAGAATGAATGCTTTTCACAAAGTTTTGATGTTCTTCATTAATAGTTTTGTTCACTTCTAGTTTTAGTGGGTGGATGTCAATATATTTCAATGCCTGAGGATCTGACAGATTGCCGTGTAGGTCAGTTATATTTCTTTTGAAGCAGTGACAGTGATCCTCACGTGTTCCTTGGACTTGGAATCCTTGATCCACTTCCTGCTGCAGAACTTGGAAAACATAGAGAAATCAATTTAATATAATAAATCTCTCCTTGAACAAATGTAACAAAATACCATACTGATTGTATTTTGGATAGCCTCCTCACTTGTTCTGAGCAACGTGGCTGCATCTTCTTGACCAAGAGCAATTGTAGCATATTCCTGAAGTATCTTATGCAGTTTCTGGAGAGACTCCAGCCACTTGCTTTTAGCTTGCTGTCTGCGACTTGGATCTTTACTGAAGATATCTCTGTACACTGTGCTGGGCAGACAACATGAAGTGTACAAAGTATGAGAACCACTTTCAAATTAATAAGACACTCTTCTCATTCTTAATATAATATCTATTCACTCTGGTGATAAGTGAAAGCAACTACTGGAGAATTTTCTTTATATTGTATTATGGACAAAAGAAATATGGGATTATATAGAGAAATTGTGTTAGTCTAGATCTGGGATTGCCTCCCAAAACTTGCTTGCTTGCTTTCACCTTGAACACCCAAAGTGGGAAATAAACAAAAAGAAGCTAGTATAAGTAAAAAAATATAAAAGCAAATTCATTTTGAAGCATCATAATGATACAACCATTAGCTTTCAAAGGCTTGAATTAAGAGAGTCTCTAAAGGCAGAAAACGGGAGCCAAATACATCTTCTAAGGAGTACATTCCGAAGACAGGGAGTGATGCTGAAGAAAGTCCATTAGATCAGGGCTTTTCAACCAGTGGTACGGCTACCACCTGTGATACATTGGCACCTGGCAAGTGGTACGCGACCATCCTAGAAAAGTAGCGGGGGAGGGGAAGGAGCTGAACCGGTGGGAGCACCGCACAAGCCTGAGCGAGAGATGGCTGGAGCTACAGGGTGTCAGGGCCCAGCAGAAGCACCAGGATCAGTGCCGCTTTCCAGCTGATCGGCGCTTCTTCGGGGCTGAAGAAACACCAATCAGGTGGAATGTTGCAGCATCTCCAGGGTCTTATGATTTATATTCAGATGCTTGGCAACTGATTCATATTTATGATGGTCACAGTGTCATATGAAGTGACCAAAACCCAGCAGATGGGGGGAAATAAAAACCAAACACCCGCCACCCCACCTCCACTGCCAATCCCCAACAGAAACACTCACAACAATGAAAACCTTGGACAGGAGGAAGAGCACCGCCTGGCGGGCAGGCAGGTGTCTTGCTCGGCTGTGGCTTGGGGGGCACTTTTTCAGTGCCACTGTAACTTCAACCAGTCACTAAGCAAACTGTTGTAAGTCAAGGACTACCTGTACTTTATCACTTTTTTTTTTTTTGGTCATCAAGTTTTTGACCCCTTGCTAGGCGACTGGTGGTACTCGGATGTTGCCATATCCTAAAAGTGGTACAATGGATGAAAAGGTTGAAAAGCTCTGTACTAGATGAGCCTCTGAACCATAACAAACTTTAGAAGAGTCTCTACAAATCTTAATGTCTTGTTAGTTTCATAATAGGAGAGAATATTGTTCAAACAGTTAGGCTCTATGGTACTTGGAGTTTTAAAACTTTACAGTAACATCTTACTTGTATCTGGAAAACAGTAGTACAGATCTTTTAATGTGGACATTAGTTACTTGCCTACCTGTTGCATTTTGCATCAGTCACAACTTTCAGACATTTTTCAGTTATCATCACATAAAATAAAAAGAGGTATAACAAGTTGTGTGTAATTATTGCAAAAACTGACCAACACAGAAATGGCTATAAATGTCACACATCCATAAATGTATAAAAGTATTTTCTATCCAAGCTGCTACCTAGGAATTTGATAATACCTGAAGTTCATCAAGGAGCACTCCCAAACTGCAGACCTGTTCTTTCAAGGGAATGCAACTCCACCCAGAGCAGGCTAAACTACAATGTATGAGTCAAATTTCCTACTGAAAAAAACCCTGCATCTACTGTCTTGTCAGTATTTAATTTTAACATGCTTTCCGCACAGCACATTACTGAACTTAACCCAAAGTTTAAAAGCACACTTGCTTTCTTGGGGTTAAATGGTGATAATCATTTGAACTGGGTATCATCAGCATATTGAAAATCTCGCTGAAAAACTGTGCTTGACCTTTTCTTGCAGTTTAATGTAATGTCAAACCATATAGAGCACAAAAGAGAACCCTGTTTGACACCATACATGGGTGGCCTAACTCTGAAATAATAATCCCTGAGCACCATCTTCTGGTGACAGGGAGAATCAGACACTAGAAAATAATGCCCCCAAGACCTAATCCCAGTCAGAAAATCCATAGAAATATCATGGTTATTGGTATAGAAAAGCTCAAAACCCCAGTAAAAAAAGTAGAAAAATTTTCTTCTACCCCGATCCAATATTTAGTATTAGTCATGCAGCATAATGATCAAAGCTGTCTCTGTTCTATAGAGCTGAAAATTTGACTAAATTAGGCAGAAAAGTAGTCTCCTCCAGATACCGTATATCTGGACATTAGGAAGTCACTAATTTCTTACTTTAATCAGAAATAGAATAGATATCATTTGGAGAAAGATAGGAGAACTCTTACTTGAATCTGCACCCATAGGCTTGAGTTCTCCTAGTTTTAACTTTAATCTTCTAGAAACAAATAGAGTCAATGGAAATTTAATTTACCACAGTCATGCAAATATTCCAGATGCACTGAATCAAGTGAGATTATTCATGAAGGCATTAGAAAAATAGCAAGTTTAGTGTTAATAAAGCCAAATTAGACAGCTAAGAGTTCATAAATTGCATTAAGAAAGACTGTAAATGTGGTTTGCTTAACTTTGGTTTAGTATATTGCAGGTATTTAATACATTTCTAAGTGATAACTTATGGTTTAGCATGTTATGCAATTGAAATGACAGGGTGAGCTGCTTTGCTTCAGCTAGCTGCCTCTCATATGCACTTGATGTTCTTGCCTTACTGCAGCTTGCTTCAGTAAGTCGAGTTCTAAGCAGAGCAACCTAAAACAATACATGAAACATCTTTTCAAAGTAACACACAGCCTTACTATAGGGAATAGTATCATGCCTTGCAATATCTCACGGGGTCACTGGACTGAAATTCTGTTTCCCTCAGACTGCTGATTGTAAATCATCATAAAATAAATCTTGTAGGCAGTCCACAAGATACCATAGTCATTGGTATCCAACCAGTCCATGAGAGGCATACTCCTCTCTTTGAGGTTCCTGCAAAAATAATCTATTAGAGTAACCAATGAGATCGGCCAATTGAAAAACCAAAATCCAACCTACCAAATAGGTTGAAGCTTGTAAACTGCAGGGATGCAGTTTTCATCCAGCTTGTACCATTGATTCAAAAGCTGAAGTTCTTTCTCATATTCAGCTGCAGTCTTTTGGGTGAGTAGAGAAGTATTAAGCAAATCCAATTCATTTGAATTAATCACTTCATGTTCTTTCTGGCTGCTTATCTCAGCTTCAAACTCTTCCATTGCATCAGGATCCTGGAAATCCTGAACAATTTCACCTTGATTTTCATTTCTCTCTACTTTGATTTCATTTTTCAAATCAGCAGGTGGCATGTATTTTGATGTTTTGATATTCAGTTTCCTACGTATCACTGTGGCTTTAATTAACTCAAACACTTCCTTGCCTATTATTTCTGGAAGAGAGAGATCATCAGACTTCTGGCCAATAAAAACCTGAAATGCAGCATGGAAAACAATTTTAAAATGATTCTTGGCAAACAAATTATTATTTTCTCTGAAGCTGATGGCATTCCAATATATTTAATATATTGTGCCAATTGGAAATTAAGTAATCCAATGAAGCAAATGTCACAAAGATGATTCAATTAATTTTGGTACATAGGTGAATTCTTTTTGTTTCCTCTAGTAGATTTGTAACAGAAATAAGTTCATAAGGGCAAGACTTTTCATTTGTTGGATTTGTATGTAGCTGGTTTCAGCTATGGAATATGGAACTATATGCAATATTGAAATGTCATATGGCTAGATTAACAAAAAAGCAGAATTGGAAGGCATCTTGGAGGTCTTCTAATTCAACTTCCTGCTCAAACAGGAACCCCTATACCATTTCAGACAAATGGTTGTGCAATCTCTTCTTCTTTTTTTTATTTAAGTTTATAAAATTTTACAATAAAATACTCCCCCCCAACCCCCCAACCCCCTCCCCCCTACTTCCCAGAGCTGAATACAGGGTTAAGAACAACAAAAAACATAGAACTTAAATGAACAACAAACAATTATACATATATCCAAAAAACAAAATTTTAAACACTTTAACTCCAGTACATAAAAACAAAAATTACCATCCTTAAACATAAGTTATTCAAAAGCTTACCCTTAAATATACTTTATTCAAAAGTTAAATAGTACTTTCTAATATCATATTTATTCTGTATAAAATTCACCCATCTTTTCCACACCAAAATATATCTCTCTTGCGACTGGTCTTTCAGATAAGCTGAAATTTTTGCCATTTCAGATAAATAAGAAACTTTAAGAAACCATTCTTCTAAAGTAGGCAAAAAATCCTTCTTCCAGTATTGCCCAATCAGCAACCTTGCTGCTGTAATTAAATTCAACATTAAAATAATCTCTTTACCATCACAATCGTCAATAATACCTAACAGAAACAATTGTGGTGTAAATTTTATCCTTCTATTAAAAATCTTCTGAATATTCCACCAAATCTTGATCTTAACGTAAGTAAGGGATACAAGGAAGAATCATCAGATGTTGTAAGTGAGGCAAGAATCAGTCAGCTGGGACCCGTCACGAGGTCCATGAGCCGAATGCGGGCGCGGCTACATTATAAGCAAGTTTCCTTTGTTGTGTCCACAGCTCTTATCTGAGTATGGTATGCCTCAGCAATCATGTCTTTATTCCCCACCCCAGTCTTCCTTACATCCGTTCCCTCCCGTTGTTTGGCACTCAAACCGCTCTCATTACTCCTCCCCTTACTGATCGAGCGGGTGGTCATTCTATGCTTTCTCTCCCCTCTCCGTGTGGTTACTAACGCCTCCAAAGACCAATAGTGGAGGGATAGGGAAGGGCATCCGGAGAAAAGAACATAATGTTATAGACACATCTTGGTTATCAGCTGGCCAATCAGGGCCAGTAACACGGTCTAGGAGCTGTGCGCAAACGTTAGTTGAACCTACTTAAACCACCTTTATTGTAATGGCCTTTTAGCCCTGACGATGCTGAGGAGTTCCCCCAGCGAAAGCTTGGCAACTTTTTAGTATAAGTATATTTTTAGTAAAGTATTCTTACCCTCCCGGTGATCGTGTTTTATTCTTTTATTCATATATATATATAGTGTTTCCCTCCCAAAATAAGCCCCCCCAAAAGACCTACCCTGATTTTGGGGGGTGGGCCTAATATAAGCCCTACTCCAAAAATAAGCCCTAAGTAGAGCCCCGCCCACTCCATCCCACTTGGCTGCCGCAATGCGGAGGAGTCCGCGCAGCACATCGTGCCACTGCCGCCACAATGAGGCAAGGCAGATGGGAGAGGGGGGTGGAGCTTCCCCATGCGCCCCACACCCGCTTCCTTCAGGCCCCCCCCAAACCAGGCCATTCCTTGCTCCCTTTCACTCCCCTTCTGAGCCAGACTGCCATGCTACCATACGGAAGATGGGCAGGGTAGGTCTGGTTCTCCTCCATTTCAGAGCCAGGGGAGAGTGACAGCGAAAGGCTCTACTGCCGCTGTGCACCGCTGAAGGGGCTTTCTTCATGCTTCGCCCCACAAATCACCTGCCTAGCGGCAGTCTCCTCCTCCTCCTCCAACTCTCCCATGGCTTGCGCTGTGACCGGGTGGCATAAGCCTCTCCTGCTGCCTCCCTCCGAGAGTCCACCATTGCCACCACTGAAGAGCATGGAGAACAGGAAGCAGAGTGGCTCTGCGTAGCAATGTAGAGCACTTGCTTGCTGCCCTGCATTGCCCCGCGTCTCCCTTCTCTGTTCTCAAAATGGCAGCCCCATTTTCTGCCACTTCTCCTCCTGAAAGCAAAATATTTCAACATTAATCTTGCGAGATCTTTTTTTTTTTTTTTTGTGAGAAGTTGGAAGGTCTGACTGAACTCTTTTTAGTCCCACGAACTCCATTTCCCTGCAGCAGGAGAGAAACTCACTAGAGCTGGAAAGCAGGTTAGTGTTGAAATTTTTTGCTTTCAAGAAAAGTGGCAGGAAACGGTGCTGCCATTTTGAGAATGGAGAAGGGAGATGCGGGGTGATGCAAGGCAGCAAGCAAGTGCTCTGCTCTGCATCGCTGCGCAGAGCACTCCGGTTCCTGTTCTCTGTTCTCTGCAGTGGCGATGATGGATGGCTGGTGGAAGGAGGTGGCAGGGGAGGCTTGTGCCACCCAGTCATGGTGCAAGCCATGGGAGAGTTAGTGGAGGAGGAGGTGGCGGCTGCCACTGGGAAGGTGATCTGTGGGGTGAAGTGTGAAGAAAACCCCTCCAGCGGCGCACAGCAACAGCGGAGCCTTTCGCTGTCACTCCCCCTAGCTCCAAAACAGCAGACGGGGACTAGGCCTACCCCTAGGCTTTGGAGGGTAATGAAAGGAAGCAAGGAATGGCCTGGCGGGAGGGCCTCTGAAGGATGCGGGTGCAGGGCATGTGGGGCAGCTCCACCCCTCCCCCACCTGCCATGCCTCGTTGTGGCGGCAGCAGCATGATGTGCCACGTGGCCTCCTGCCGCAAAGGGCCGCAGAAGTGGGCCAGCAGTCATGCAAGCTTTTGCTGGATGAGGCTGTTGGTGCCGCTGCCGCGAGGCAAGGCAACTATCACAAAAAATTTAACACACCGCCCAAAAATCAAACCTAATGCCTCTTTTGGAGGCAAAAAGAATATAAGACCGGGTCTTACTTTCGGGGAAACATGGGTATATATATATGTGTGTGTATGTATATGTATATATGTGTGTGTGTGTGTGTGTGTGTGTAGAGCATGTGTATATGTGTGTTATGTATATGTATGAGTTGATATATACTTTCTTTTGAGAGCAGGCAACAGAATTTCATTTTTAATATGTGCCAGTGTGCTCACAGTAAAAAAATAATAATAAACCTTATCTTATCTTACTTAAATACATTTTGTGGCCACAGACTACGAAGACTTTACTCAAGATTTAAATCATAACATTTCTTCAAGCCTTCGCGGGGGCCCATGTGACAACCTCGGGCCCTCCATGGTTGAGAACCACTGGCTTACAAAATACAGTTATGTATTGGATTCACAGATCACACGACATCCAAAACAAATATTAGGGCCCAGTTTTGAAGTGTAAATTCAGCCAGTTGTTGCTTATTTAACAAACTATGGTCATTTCTTAGCATGATGAGTGAACTCATCACTAATCAGAACAAACAAACTTCACTAAAACATATAAGACTGCAAATTAAAAAACATCGTACGAGTATTATATTGCGAATTCTAGTCAACTTACAATAAAGGTTTGGAATCCCAGTTGCTGGCATTTCTTTAATGTCCTTGTATGTAGAGAAGCCATATGATGATCATTAGTAATACCATCTTTTACTCCCCATCTTAGATCAAATACATGGAAGTCGTAACCTCTCTTTTTACAGTAGTTGTATAGCGATGGGAAGGATTTTTCCATTAATGCATTTCGTTCTACTTCTGAATCTAATTAAAATAACAAAGCAAAATTGCTAAACAGTGTTATCTTGATTTTAAGGCAAACCTATGCAACATCTAAAATTTAAAAAAAGAATTGGCAGAGTTTCAGTATGTGATTTATATTCAGTATCTCCAATCTAACTGTAATACAAGTAATCCTTGACTTATGACCACAACTGAGCCCCAAAATTCCATTGCTAAACAACACAATTTTAAAGTGAGTTTTGTTCCATTTTAAGACCTTTCTTGCCACAGTTAGGTTAGTCATGGCCTCCTCAGCAACTTTGCTAGTCAGAAGGTTGCAAAAGGTGATCGCGTGACCCAGTCATAAATGCATGCCAGTTGTCAACCATCTGAATTTTGATCATGTGACCACAAGTATGCTGCAATGCTGATTAAGTGTGAAAAACAGTCATAAGTCACTTTTTTCAGTGCCATTGTAACTTTGAATGGTCACTAAACAAGGATAACCGTATAAAAAGAATGCCTATTGAATTAGGAAGGGAACCTATTTTAATTACTTTAGTTTATTTGAATACACACACACACACACACACACTACAGCTACTAACTACATCCAAACATATTTAGCTTAGTGTTCTTGTATTATGTGCTGTCCGACTATGAAGCTTTACATTTATAAAAAAATGTACCAAATGAACAAAAATATAGAATTATAGATATATTCATATTTCAGATGCTCCAAGAATGCCTTTACTTAGCTTCTTAATTGTCTGAATAATAATAATTTAAAAAACTACTTAAACCTCAAGGAATGTTCTTTTGTTTTAGATTAGATTCTGTCTTTCTCTAAAAATTTAAATTCCCAAGTCATCTAGAAGTACCTTGATAACCTCCGCAGATATAGATAATAAATTTTTTCTTTCTGGTTAAACAGGGCAAATGGATTCGTCCTCTCACTACATCCCTGCTTGTTTTGGTGTCTGTTGGGCTCTTCTGACATCTTACATCATTTGTGGCATCCTCAGTTTCCATTAGGAAAATGCTGCGGGGTTTAATTTCTTCTATCAGGGTTTTCAGATGAGATGTACTTAAAAAAGAGTAACCCTTGTGAACAGCATTTTTTTCTTCATTTTCTTCTGATCCATTTATGTCTGAGAACTGCAGAGACTCTGAAAGTGTACTTCTGGATAAATATATTATTCTTCTGTTCAATTTCTTTTCCTGGATTTTGTCTTTTTCTTCCAAATGAAGAAAGTCACCATGTGCTTGTCTTTGGGGGAGCTCTCTGTACATATGCATTGATTTTTGTGGTTTTGTGTTGTATTTGGAATTTTCAGTCAGTTCAGAGATTTCGTCTCTAACCAGAGGCTCCTCTGAACAAATATTGATCTGACTTCTACTGTCTTCTTTCTGCTAAAGAGAAAGAAGAGTTTTGTAATTAGATACATAAATTATAAGTACAGTATCTACTAATAAGCATACATTTTTGTAATGAGAACAGTACCCTAAGTATCTTTCCTTCATTAGATGTAGCACATTAAAGGCTTAGAAAGGATAAGACAGTCTTAAATTTTGCTGACACCCATTACACTATTGTTTTTAGAGGATTATCTGAGATGGTATCAATGCAAAGATACTAAATGAAAGATCAAGATGCAGATTATGGTTGTATATTTGGTGATAAGATGGGTCTCCATATGCTATCCATAGTACCATTTGATTTGATGTGAAATTGTTCTTAATCATGGGGTATATACAGTGTGTATGTGTGTACATGCAATCTTAAAGAGAAATGCCAACATTTTAAACATTCATATTTAGTCTTTCCACCCTTAATAATTAATTAGTAAAACATTAGTAATATATAGTACCTGTATTTGCAATTAATATAAATTTGAATGAAAATTATTCTTAAATGAAAATTTATTCAAGGCTGTTGCTATTTTTGACTTTTTACACAAAGCAATTTCCTATGCTTTTAAATCCTACTTTAGTTTTACTTTATTTTTTCCACTGTTTTGGATAACAAAATAGGTATCTAGCAAGAGAAATTCCATCAATTTTTCAAGTGATTAGACCAGCAGCCCCCAGCTCCACTGGTTCTGTGGAGAGAGATTTTTCCATGGACCATAGGGGGGTATGCTTTTGCATGCTGCCTGCATCCTGTGAATGATGCTTCACTTGTTTGCATGGCCCAGTTGCTGACATGCTGCAGACCGGTGCCAGTCCACAGACTGGAGGTTGGGGACCCCTGGACTAGACAACCCTGTGACCTGTTGTGTCATCCTTTGAGAGAAAGGTAGTACAGTCCGATGTCATCAGGATGAATATTAAATTTTAGGCTGGCCATTTTTTTACTCTAATGCCAGACGGTTGTGATTATCTAAGAATATATATCATAAATAGAAAAATAATTGTAGCAAATCAAATTGAACAACAAGTCAATATTATCTTAACTAAAGAAATCAATAGACCAATAATGTGTAGACAAAAAAGCAATGGAAGTGGGAATGACTTCTGACTTCCTGACAGCTTCCCTATCTTTCTTTGTGAGAAGCTGACAAGGACCATTGGAAATCATCATTATGTGACTATGGGGAAACTGTGATGGCCACAGCTTTGTGAATAAAACTGGAAATTTCAATTCCATATTTATTTTTTTTACAAATTCTTTAATTTAGCAGATTTTAGGTTCTTTGATGGGGGGCAGAGCCAAGATGGTGGACAGGCAGCAAAGGCTGTAAGGAGCTCCTCCGAAAGCAAAAGCCTTATTTTATTTTATTTTTATTTTAACTTTTTAACCCTTTTTAACATTGCATTTTTAATCTACCCACTTTTAACCTATTTTAACCTACTTTTAACTCTTTTTAATTACTGGAGAGGCCACCATTTTTCTACCTACATTTTAACAATTCTATAAGCCTGATTACTAAGAATGGGGAAAAGGAGAAAGAGACAGCACTCTGCAGCAGAGAGTTCATCCAAGCCACTGAAGCAGCAGAAGATGGAAGACTACACTGCAAACAGACAGTCTGTGCCAGTAAGTAATTCATCTGCAGTCACCTTATCAGATAAATTTAATTTATGTGACTAATTGGAATGGGACTTACAAACCGAACTGGAGAGCAAACAGCATGTAGAATTGTCCTCCTCAGAGAGTTGCTCCCCTTCTTGGAACTCAGCAGCAGCTCTCTTTGCATAGGAGGGAGATATAATAAATTTAAAAGGAGAAAATGTGACAGATTTCCTCTCTAGACAATGTTTGCTTACAGCTCAAACTGTTAACTCAATATATGAACTCTTATCAACTGTCATAAATAAGGTTGACTGCTTGAAAGAATCTTTTGTAAAGTTTGTTAGGAGCCAACCAAATACTGCAGAGGACAACCACGGATAGACTTGGGATGGCTAATTCAGAAAATGAAACTAGAGAAGGGCCTTGTCTTCCTTCCAAAAATCTGAACACTCATAGAAAAAACATCCAGTTAGGTAAAGGCCTAAGAGATAACCAATATAACTATAGTCTGCAGACTAACCGGGTTACCTTACAAATTTATGACAAGAGAGTGAATAGAGGGTGTTGGGGTAATAGAAAAGCTGTTAAACTGTCCCTAAGCCAGCTGCTTCGCTGTGAACTCACTATGATAAATCTTCTACATGCAGAGTGGCTACCAGCAAGAAGACAATATATGAGAATTCTCCTATTGCTTAAGCAGTCCACAATTTCCTCCATGCTCTTTAAAATGAAGCCCTTTCTGAGTACCTTTTCAATATTCCCAATAAGGGTTTTTCGCTCAGACAAAGTGTGCTCACTCCTGAAACAGCGTCACCAAGAGGGAACTGTTGCTTTACATCCAGGCTGCAACAGCCCTTACATTGTTAAGCTTGAGGCTGCTGCAACTGAATTGACCCTGAGAAGTGATATACAAACGGCGTTACCCACAGCTGCAGGAACTGTTGAAGATGTGCCAGAAGAAATGCTGATTGATCTATTCAGTGCACTGCTGGAACCTGAGCAAGTTAATATCATTCAAAGATTGGATGACCTAAAAGAAGCACTGACAACAACTCAATTTACAGCAAAGCTTCTATTTAATTTGACTCCACTAATTGCGCAACCTTGTGACAATACATTTAATCAACAATCTGCCTTTACCTCAATAGTAAAAAAAGATAGTGTCACACAGGCGGACAGTGGGGCAACTGCACTGACTGACCCTGTCTCTGAGAAACAACTGAAAGACAAAGGGCTTCATCACACAGTGCCTCCTAAGCCGACAAACACTAAGGATATAATCCAGCTTCCATCCTCATTTGACTTAGAAGTTTCCACAACATCTCCCTACAAGGTGAATTCTCAGCTACGCCCCTCCAAAAATGGACATAAATCTACATTTATAGATTTAAGCCGGGGTACCTGCCCATCTGAAAAAAAAAATATTCCTGGAGCAAGGGCAGAGGCACACTGGCAATCGAGATATAGAGGAGCAACAACAAGTTCTGCAACCCATGAGAAGAAATACCGAACCTCACAACAACTGTGTTTATATGGGATGCATAGATGATATTGACCCGGCTCCAATGTCAAGCTGACATCTGGAATTTTTACCATCTAGCCAATCAACCAAGCCAGACCACCTTGCCTCCGAGAAGCCTATACAGATGAACGCAGCCAGCTGGAAAGGGATGGTCGATAGTGGACCAATGAGCTTTCTCCCTAGATTTGATGTAATAGCCCTTCAAGAAACCTGGTTAACTGAAGTGGATGAACCAGTACAACTGCCAGGTTTTCAGGGATGGACCTCCCCAGCCCAAAAAACAAAGAACAAAGGGAGACCCTCTGGTGGGCTATGCATTCTTAAAAAGCAAGAGTTGCAATGGCAGGGGGAGAAACTATATAATGAAGATAAGTATTCATACTTCCTAACTATTAAATTTGAATATGAAAAGTTTGAGTTAATACTGGTAAATGTGTATATCCCACCAATCACATCCACGTATTATAACTCTGAATGTTGGATGGGCTTGGAAGTTATTTTAGAAGATATATCTGTACTGTACTCTCAGCCCATAGTGGTATTACTAGGAGATTTGAATGCTCGGCTGGGTCCCTCTTTGTATGAGCTCGCCCAGAAGAAGGGAGTCCCAGGGGAATTTTTTGATAACCATCCCCAGTGGCTCTCGAGAGACTGCAAAAGTAATGCTGCTGACCTGCTCCTAGTCTCCTTAATTTTTAAGGGTAATCTCCAAATTCTAGGAGGTAAGGATAAGAATTACACATATCTCTACATATACCACTCTGCCAATTCAAGCAGTGTACTGGATCTCTTTTGTGTGGCTAGAAATAAAGTTGACCTTTTTTCGGAGATCACAGTACACCTTAGCGACAATAGCGACCACCAGCTTGTAAGCGTGACACTACAAGGCCCCTCAGATTTAAGACCATATAATATGGCTGATAGATGGCTCACCAAAAAGGTAGAGGTGACCTGTTCTGGATCGTATAGCTCTATATAACCCTAACTAGAGAACATGTATCAGTATGTTAGAATATCTGGCATATATTGGGTTAAGTGCTATCTCCTTAAGAGATGGATTATGGGAAATGCAGTTTAGCTAGTCAGTCATCCCATGTTAATGGGTCAGTGGGAGGAGTTTCTAAAGGGCATTGAGAGACTTCCTGGACACAAGCCAGATTGGAATGTCTTTTGTCTAAAGAAGACTATGGGCCATCAGATGTCACACGATGACCCTATGCCGCTATAAAGATGGTATGAAGAGAGCATCATTCTTTCACCTATAGGGATGGACAAAGATACATTATCAGAGGCAACCATCAAGAATGCAAGTAATCTTTCTGATTAAAGATATTTTTGTTATGAAACCATTTCTATTGAGTTTACCTATCTGATCTGATTTATGAGGCATTTTAACTCAGAACAGAATAGTGAACTGCCTTTAAGATGGAACCTGAATGGGTCATCCCAGGGACGGTTTGTGTTGATCAACCGCAAACCTCAACCTAGGTGAGCATCTCAAAGGCAGTTGAGAAGCTTGTTGGGCCTCTGACCATTCCGTGGTAGGCAAAGGGGTCAGGGGCATCTACTCTCAACGGAGCCAAATTTTCTGCTTCAGGAGTTAGGAACCGTAGGGCAATTGGGGGGAGCTGTTTGACACAGAACGTGGCTTTCCTCCCCGCTGTGCTCTGTGACACAGAGCACATTTCTTTGCTTGGGGGTTCGCTGGGGAATGGTGGTTCGTTACACACTAAAGTGCAGCTGACCTTGATGGGCGCCTCTGGGTGCTCTTCAGAGTCATGCTGGGGTTCTTTGGTTGAAGGAGGAGTAGAAGCTGCTCATTGTAGCTGTCCAGGGTCTGGATGCAGGGCTTCTGAGTGCTTGTCACTCTGGCTTGGTAGACACTTCCCCTCAGTTTCATCGGCTTTGGCCGTGTCTTCTGGAGACTTACTGCATTTAAAACCAGCCTTGTACTCTCGTAAGTCTAACTTTCTTCCTGGGGTGTTGGGGAATCCAATGGTTTGCCGTCAGGCTGGGCTGGTTCAGTGTTGAGGTCGTCTGGAGTACAATCAGTGGCTTTCGGTTGAACTTCATAAACATTGTTTCCATGAGCAGGGAAACGTGGTACAGATAGCTGGCATTTTTCTTCAGAAAACTCCTTGTTGGAGTTAACTCCCAGACTTGGCTCTCTCAACTGGTTTGTCTTTCGGGTAAGATTCGGTCTCTGGGAGGTGTTTTAAGCTCTCTAGAAACCTTTTCCCAAAATAAAAGTTTAATATGGGCCAAAGTTGATACTAAGGCAATACTAGAATGCCTTAAAACAGAGAATGCTATTAAGTGGGCTAGATTAATCCAGTCATCTACTATTGACTGGATGTCAGCCTTCAATGCATTCTCCAATCTCTGTAACATTCTGAAGAAACATCTAACAGCCAAACCTCGTACAAAAAGAGCCCAAGTAGGTAGACCCTGCTGGTTTGATCCTGAATGCCAGTGACTGAAAAAGAAACTGAAGGCAGCCATGAAGCTTGCCCAGAGGAATCCTACTGCTAAGCTAAGATGTTGCACACAAGAAGAGAATTTAAAAAAACTATAACATTAAAGAAAAAAAGCTTTGCCATTTCAATCTGGTCAGAACTCGAGTTGGCTGCCAGAAGTCATAACTGAGTAATATTTTGGCATTCTGTAGCAGGTATCCTGAAGGAGCGGAGATTTGCATTTGACATACCAATCTCTGCCGAGGACTGGGAGAATTATTATCAGTGTTTGTTTGCTTCCACTGAACCGGTAGAGAAATTGTCTTTAAGCAATGATTTAGTAAACTCTAGAACTTCCCTTTCTTGGCCACCAGTCTCAGAAAAGGAGATACAATCCATCATCAAAAGTTTAAAGAGCAATAAAGCCCTAGGTGAGGATTTCTTACCAGCAGAATTATTCAAGAAATTTCCCAATTGGTGGGGCCCTGTATTGGCAGGTCTTTTTAGACACATAAATAACACCTGCCATATACCAGTTGGGTGGAAGATGGCAATAGTTGTCCCCATATATTAAAAAGGGAATAATAAGGACCCTAGTAATTATAGGCCCATTAGCCTGATTGATATTTTAGCAAAAATATATGCTAGGTACCTTTTGAACAGAATTGAAATCTGGGTAGAGGAAAACAATATCCTCACAGAAGAACAAGCAGGTTTTAGACAAAGCCGATTTTCTATTGATAACTGCTTTGTCTTGAACCATCTAATTGCCAAATATGCCTATAAGAGGAGACCCCTGTTTGCTGCTTTCATAGACCTTACAGCAGCATTTGATATGGTAAACAGAGAAGTACTATGGAGTAAATTGACATCTCTTAAAATAGAACCTAGACTCCTGGCTTTGATTAAAGCCCTTTACACAAGGACCTGTTTGAGGGTGCGGTATGGGGTTAATGGGGCTCTAACTAACAGAATTCACACAAATAAAGGGATAAGGCAAGGGTGTATCCTGGCCCCATTATTATTTAGTTTATATATTAATGACTTGCCAGGGTTAATGAAGGATCCCATGGTACATATGCCAATGATCCGAAATACTTACTGTAATACTTGCTTTATGCCAATGATATGATTTTATTATCATATTCACAAGTAGGATTACATAGGCTATTAAGAAGATTCAGTTCTTACTGTCAGGATAACTCCCTAATCATTAGTAAAACTAAATAAAAAATAATGGTGTTTAGAAGACACCATCAGAGACATAAGTGGCAATTAGATGGTGAACCAATTGAACAGGTTAACACCTTTGTATATCTGGGCATAACTTTTTCCAAGACTGGATCTTGGGTTTGCCATCATCAACGAAGTACATTTAGAGCAAAAGCCCGCCTGAATCTATTACTTAAACTAAAGAACCATAGTTACCCAGGGTCCTTAGCCCCATTAATTAAGGTATATAAAGCTAAGGTTACCACTATGCTCTTGTATGAAGCAGAAGTTGGGGTCTCTACTCAACCACAGTCTTAGAACAAACACAGTCCCAGCATTTGAGATGTATTCTGGGTGTAGATCCAAGAACATCTGCTGCAGCAGTTAGAGCTGAATTGGGAATTCATACAATTCATGCTCTATCCAAAATTAGAGCTTATAACTACTGGTGCAAAGTCAATGAAATGGAGACTGATAGACTCCCCAAGTTATGTCTACTAGAGCAAATAAAATTACAATCACAAATCTCCTGGGTCACAAAAGTAACAAATTTTGTAAGAAGCTGTAGTCTTCCTGTCTTTTGGGTAACAGGAGAACAATTCAAAAAAAGGGCTGCCCAAAGAATTAAGGATATAGAAGCACAAAATGATATAGCGATCCTTAGTAAGGTGGGTAACTTGAAATGGATGAGTAAATACAAGCGTACTTTTCAAGCAGACAGCTATTTGAAATTACAACTGCCAAAACACCTTAGGGAGGTAATTACCCAAGTGAGATTTGAACAGCTTGATACAATGGTCAGATATGGGAGATTCCATTCTATACCTTACAATGAGCGTCTCTGCATTTGTGGAGTGGCAGAGGTAGAAGACCTGGCTCACATACTATTTGATTGTTACCTGTACAAGAGGATGAGAGACAGGTACCTCAGTCTATAACAAATGAATGACTCATTGGGATCCCCATATCAAAACAACTTACCTCATGTGCGGCCAGAACTTGAAAATAACATTTAACGCAGCACAGTATTTAAACAAAATGGTTCATCTGAGATCTGCATATGTGGGACTGATTGGGGTAGATTGCAAAGGTGACTCCAAGATATAATTTTATCATATTTTATCTATTTTAAATTACTGTACTCATTTCATTTTAGACTGTATTTTACTCTAATTTCATTTTAAATCGTATTTTACTCTAATTCCATTTTAAACTGTATTTTATCAAAGTTCATTTTAAATTGCTTTTAGCAGACTTTGGTAATGTTTTGTTGCTGGAACTTTGCACTTTGATATGGCCCAAGGGCTAATCAATAAAGATTTATTATTATTAAAAACTTACCTGTCTGTTATTTAATGGAACAACACTTCCCAAAACTGTATTAGAGAAGTGGGATTTATGGAATGGTTTCTCTTACCTTCATGATGAATGTCTCTGTATTGTAAAGGTGTCTTTTACTGCTTAAGGGGCGATTCAATCTTTTAGCAAAATGAAAATACATTTGATGCTGGAAGGAACCAAGACAGATATTAGGAAAATACTGCTTTCCAGGTTTTTCCAGATATTTAAAGGAAAAAAAATAATCACCTACCTTTAAGTGCTTCTTCACTTTCATGTCTGTTTCTTCAGTTATGTTTACATATGGAATATTCCAGTGACATCTTTGTTTCTAGAGGTAATTTAATAATTTAATATTTTTAAAAAGATCTTATTAATCTGTTTGCTAACTATTTTCTTAAAAATATTATTTTACTTAGTTGTATTACCAATAACTAGGGCATAGTGACAACTCTGTGAGTACTGAAAAGGGGTAATCGTTATTTTTCTCCTTCATTAAAAGACTAATTTCTTTTCATTTTGTTAGAATGTAGTTTTTTCCAGCATTTGTTTTTGAAAGCCTTATTACAGCAAAGGGACATATTGGGAGCACAGGTCATACTACTTCCTTCCTTTCTACTAACAATGATCATAACTTAACCCAGGGGTACAGGTGATCCATGCCAGATGTTTTGAAACACAATTCACATCAATCCCATCCATCATATGTAATGCTCAAGAATTATGAGACTGGTGATCCAAAGTTGCCCATGTCTGATAACCAGTCGCATATATTGTTTCATCCTTTGACTAGTAAAAGACATTGCCCTTTCCAACATGAATAAATAACACATTTTCAAAAGCCATTCCTGAACATCTGTAATATAACTTTTCTAGTTGTTCAGTATAATTCTTTTAGACCCCTTCCATACAGCAATCACTCCTCATAACAGTCAGATGCCAAAGTGTTGGTATATAATTCAATATCTTTAACATTTAGAGCACCTATGGGCTGTGGCCCGGTACCAGGCTGCGGGCTCTTGGCCAGCAGGTCACGGAAATGGCTGGCCAGGATGTACGTGCAGGCCGCACATTCCCCTCCCCCACTTGCGCTAGCATCCATGGCCCCATTTGCTCATGCATGCAGGTACGAATGCGGACACTAGTGAGGGTGTTCATTTGTGCGGCCCATTTGCACATGTGCAAACGGGCCGCTAGTGCGGGGTGTGTGCATGGCCCATTTGCACATACACAAACAGGCGCTAGCCGCCACGGGTGCGTGGCCATTCGCGCATGTGCACTGCACCAGCGCATCCCACATGTGTGAACGCAACCGCTAGAACTGCACCAGTGGGCATGGCCCTGTTTGCATGCGTGCATGTGCACACACGCAGTAATTTGGAAGCTGCTCTCCCCTCCAGGCCACAAGCCCAGAAAGGTTGGAGAACTCTGATTTAGAGAAATCCCCATAAATCTCATTATATACATTACAATTCCATTCCAAAGAGATACCAAATGATCACATGATCATAATTCATGAGTCAATGAACTCTTAGATTTTTTCCCCTCCAACAAAGAAAGCCCAATACCCATACTTTCAAATACATTCTTGAGGAAGTAATTGAGTTCAACTATTAAGGATTTTGCAAATAAATTTCCAACACCCCCCCCCAATAATAAAATCAGCAGACACACAATATTTTACTGCTATGTTCCATATAGCATTCTGTATTTCATAGTAAGAATAATTGATTCTATTTTTAAAAGAAGTGTATTAATATTTCTTATTTAACTATTTTCATTATCACTTTTATGCATCTACCTTGGACTATTCTTAAACTGTTCATTAAAATGATGTGTTATCCCCTACTTCTTTAATAAGAAAGTCAGATGGTAACTTACCCCAGTCCATTTTGAGCACATATCTTTGTATACATGTTTCTGTGACTTTGAAATATGTGGTGATAAAAACATTTCGTGGAGCATATCACTAGTGCATTTTTGGAAATTCAAATTGCTGGAAGGCTAAAAAAAAAGACAAATATGTTCAATATAGAATTGTTGTTCTCTCAGTTCCCAAATGTGCACATTAGATAAGTACTTGTGGAGATGAAAACAATCATTATCTGAAGGTAACTGCAAAGGATTAGAGATCTCAGCTGCCTGTTGACAAGGCTGAAAGCTAATCAGCTATATAACTGGTGCTTGATGTGGCTGATGGTGCAGATATTAGTATTCTTATAATACATTATACTTTTATTATGCAACTCCTTTGTTATATATGAATACTGCCAATTTTCCTCATTAATTAAATCATTAAGATATTGTAAATTGATATAATTCGATTACCTCAGATTTTGAATAATCTGGAATTAACTGCATATGCGCATCATTTTGTATCTCAATTCTATGATGGATAAGGAACTTTGATGTTGGAGCCTTCAAAACATCTCAAAGCCATGCTAGGTTCCCATTAATAAGAATCAAAGAGAGGGAAAAAGCCTGTTCTACTTTCTCCTGCCCTCATATTTATGTCAATAGGTGCAACATGAACCTTGCTGACATAGTTTTCCCAAACCTGTGGGTTTTCCTGCAACATACAGATAGTCATTGACTTACAACCACTAGTTTTGCTACCGTTCAAAGTTACAATGGCACTGAAAAAAATGATTCACACTTATGAACTTTGCAGTATACCCAGTTAGATGATCCAAATTCATGCACTTGGCAACCGGCATGTATTTATGGTGGTTACAGCATCCCAGGGTCATGTGATCACTATTTGTGACCTACCCAACCAGCTTACGACAAGCAAAGTCAATGGAAGAAGCCAGATTCACATAATGATCATGTGATTCACTTAACAACTGCAGTTATTCACTTAACAATCATGGAAAAAAGTCATAAAATTGGGTATGATTTACTTAACAACCACCTTGCTTAGCAATGGAAATTCTGCTCCCAATTGTGGTCATAAATCAAGGACCAACTATACATAGACTGCCCCTTATTTGTTTCTACTATTTACAATTTCAGTGGCAAAGAGGGAAGGGAAACATCATATCCACAGAAAGCTTTCTAACCTGCAATCAGAAATCCAAAATAGCCTCTAGGACACCTCCCCATTGACTACAGGAGTACATGTATAATGCATTATTCTAAAACAGTGCTTCTCAGCCTTAACAACTTTAAGATATGTGGACTTCAATTCTCTGGTTAGGAAATTCTGTTAATTGGAGTCCACATATAATTTCCAAAGGTTGAGAAACTGTTTTAGAGAAAATTATATACAGTATGAGGGAAATATGTATACAAAATGAATATATTTGGAAAAATAAGAATTTAGTACACTAGGAGTTTTTGAAATTGAACTGATATTGAAACAGCAAGAATTTGTAGAATACCAACTAGCCAAATAAAAACCATTAAAAATTGTCCTGGTCCATTTTTAGAGTTCCTAACCATTAATGTTTCAAAAGAATTCAGGTTTTGAAGATCTTCAGAATTCCTCTCAGAAAACATAGTAAGTTGGGGATAGTTAATAAAATAGACAGACATTTAAACCATATATTGAAGTTTAAAGCCAGGCTGAGATGTTGTATCTCAACTTATGTACCTAACGTATCTCAACTCTTGTATATTGTAGGTATCATATTTCATCTAACTTTCATTAGAGACCCAGGAAATTATTGCCTCCCAAGTTTTGAAGATACTGATATCCCACTCTGTAATCTAGTTTTTGCCATGGTCAATATAGTACACTCTGGTGTCTTGATTTGGAAAGATACATAAATAAACTTTACAGGCTTTACTTCTTATTGTGCAAGATCTATACATTCTAAATATTAGTTTATATGCCCTTATTCTGGTTCTGCTTGATTCAATAGCTCATTCAGATAATTCAGATGAAGTGTAGAACTCACCTTGTGAGCAACAGAGTGAGCAGCATTGATCAATACATCATATTACAGCATTAGCACAGTACCACTTATGGATAAATACGTGCCTGTTTGCATCATAGAGGCCTCCTGGACACATTAAGATCTTAGTAGTAGAGATGTCTGGCTGTCACAGTGATTGGCTCTTTGTTGACATCACAGCCAGTTTATGGAGGGGAGGGGCTGCTCACTGCTGCTTGCCTGGTGAATTTTGCTCTTTTTGAATAGTCAGATACAGGTAGTCCTCGAGTTACAAGTGTAATGAAGTCTGCCCATTCCACTCCTAACTCGAAAACTCAGAGTGAATCTCGTACCTCAAATGAGATCACTCCTTTGCTCGTTAAAACAGACGTGCCTTGTTAAGTGAACATGAGGTATCTCAGGGTGAGGAAGGCCATGGAGGGCCTACTGATGGAACAGGCCCCCAAGGCCTCCCCAACACACTAAGATACCACATGCTTCCCCCTCTCTTCCTGCCACGCCGGACTCACCTGGAAAAGATCCGTCTCCTCTCTGCCGTGGTTCCTGCTGCTGCCCGGATCTGAGGCTGGGGAATGCTTCCACGCCCCCCGGTGCCTCAATCTGTGCTCCGGAGGCCTTTTCCAGGCTGCTGCCACCCGGATTTGAGGCCAGGGAATGCTTCCACAGCCCCCCTACGGCCCGATCAGGCCTGGAAAATGCATCTGGAGCCCAGATTGGGCCATGGGGGGGGGCGTGGAAGCATTCCCCGGCTTTAGATCTGGGTAGTAGAGGCCTAAAAAGGCCTCCAGAGCCTGGATCAGTCCATGGAGGACGCGGA